GTTTTTGAGCTTTGAACATAAGCAGTTAAGCACAAAGTGAATTACTGACTTCAACGCCTCATCCGGGAATCCTCCCTCGCAAATTGTGCTTTCATTGTAGACACACGTCAATTGCTAAACAATTGCTAAACAATTGCTAAATTAGAAAATGAGAATTGATTTCATTTTTAGATTCTTTTTCAAACGCTCACTTGTTCCGACAAATCGATCTTCTTTTTGTATTTCATTGCGTAGTTTGCTTCAACGGTAACAGTGGCACTGAAGAGCTTTTTGGATTAATTGCACCTTCAATTTTTAGATTCTCCTTCAAAAATCGTGTTATTATTATTATCAAATCTGAATCCAAATGAACCTTAATCCAAATGAAATGCGAATGAATCGAATTTCCATTCACCTGAATGTCCAACAACTTCCACAAGACCCTTGATCTTTCACCGCATTCAACACATTTTTCGTTCGCCAATCGAACGCTTTTGGAAGAACAGCCGCTTTGAGAGCTCTTTTCTGAAGGTATTCTCACTGAAGATATTCTCTGAAGCTATTCTCTGAAGCTATTTCTGAAGATATTCACTTCAAATTTTGCATAGCTTTGATATAACCTACAGATAAACAAGCTTTTATTTGAATTTTTCCTCTCAAAAGTTTACCTTCTGTGCCGGAGCACGAGGTGGCGCTCTTTGGGCAGCCTAAAAAGGTGAACTTCAGAACCCAGAACAGAACAGGTGAATTTCAGAACCCAAATTTCCATACCAATTTCGGATTTACCTTCTTTGGCTGTGCTTTCTTCGGCTGCGCTTTCTTCGGCGTTTTCCTTTGATTGCCCACTTTTTTCAATTTCGGTTTCTTTTGTTTCACAATTTGGGATTTCTTCATGAACAGCTAAAAGATTTCGATGAAAGAATGAAAAAAAAATAAAATTCGTAACCTTTTGGATCTTTTCATCAGATAAATGCATAAATGGATGCATTCCCAATTTGAAGTTCTTCTTTAATTTCCTCTTCGCTCGAAGCTTTTTATTGTTCGCTTTGAAGTTTTTCGCGGCTTCTTTCAATTTGGCTTTTTTGATGTTTTGTTTGAATCTAGAATTCGGGGATTAGTTAGGATTTGAGCTTTGATTTCAGCTTTGATTTCAGCTTTGATTTCAACTGAAGTTTACAGACTTTTTGTGGAATTTGATGAAATCATCTTTGTGATCATCAAGCTCTTTCTCATCATCGGAATCCAATTCCAGCGGTTCCAATTTGACTTCAACGACGAACTAAAGGCGAATTTTGTAACTTAATGTAATGGCTTTTCTGGAAGAGCACTAGAGATCAGCTTTATTCACCTCTCCAATCGGCGTCTGATCGGGGATCGGTTCTTGCGTCACAATCTCGTTGATCTCCTCTTCTTCTGTCTCATCATCCTCAAAATCAAACGGGTTCTCTGTTGTCGGTTGATCAGTGGAAGCTGTAAAAAGAGGGGATTTCTTTCTCAGCTTTCTATCTACCTTCAGTTGTGAGATCTCCATCACCTTGAGTTGTCGTCTCGTCTAGATTCTCGACTGTCGTTGTCACATCTGGATTCTCGACTGTCGTGGTCTGATCTAGATTCTCCGTTGTTGTCTCTTCATCTGGCTTTGTTGTTGATTCGTCTTCACAAAATATCGTTAAAACAAAGAAAATGCCAAGAAAGAGAAGCAAACGCATCCCTGAAAGCAAATTTGAGTTTAAAAAAGCCAAAATTTCCAAATTCCAAATTTTGTTGTTTTCAGCGTATGTGATTTTTAAACTTTTCAAATTTGAACGATATTTAAAGGGAAAATTTGTTTCCTGTTTATTCTTTAACCTGTTTGACTTTAGTTTTTCAATCTCGATCGAGTGGAACATCCTGAAAAAGACGAGCAAATATAAGGAAATTGATATCAAGTGGAACACAAGAAAAAATATCTTGGAAAAGTGAAAAATAAGAGATTTGATAGATTTTCGATCTCTGAAATAATGGCAGCAACTTTTCCACAAAATAAAGATGCTTTGATGTGTGGAAGGGCGTCAAGGATATTCATTTGGTACAGTGCGTTTCACATCAAGACGTTCACCAAAGAAAATCGCAATGTCTTAAGTTAACAGCATGTGAAAATCGCAATGTCTTCAGTTAACAGCATGTTACTGTTCGAATTTTTATTGAAATTCTTTCTTTTATTGAAAAGATCGCATCAAAAAACCCTAGATTCAACAAATTGCTTAACATTTTTGCACATTTAGACAAAAAAACATAACGTAGCGAGCCGAAAACATAGCGTAGTATCAAAAACGAGGTTTGGCAAGAACTTTGGATCCAAATTGTTCCAAGCGAGCCGAATAATAAGTTTCAGATCAGCAACAGATGAAAAGTGCCATTTTTTTGTAAACTTCCAGAGCCAAGATGCCCCAGAGGTTCTCAATGGGGTTGAGATCGACTTGGCCAATCCATCCAAACCTTCTTTGTGCCATATCCGGGATTCTTCAAACAATTGTTCTCTTGATTTGCTCGGCGATCGATTTGACCTTTTTCGTAGTTAGAAAGCTTGTTTCTAGGGGAATCTAGGATTTTTGATGCGCTTTTTTCAATAAAAAGGATTTCAAACATGCTAATTTAAGATATTGCGCGATATTTAAGATATTTAAGATATTCGGATTTTTGGGTGAACTTATTAATGTGAAGCGCACTGTATATTTGATATCTTGAGAGTTTCAGCTTTAACTAGCTGTTTTCAAAACAGCAAAAACTCGACGCTCCTGGGTGGACTCGAACCACCAACCTTTCGGTTAACAGCCGAACGCGCTAACCATTGCGCCACAGAAGCATGACTGGAGGGATGGTGAGGGGTCCTTTTAAAGCTCGCTATTCAGGAAATTATAAGGGATAGGTCTTTTGTTTAATTACCCAAGTTTAACCCTTAACTTTTGTTAGTCATTTTTTTCTGCTTCTTTTAAATTATTTTGAATTTTTAAATTAATGACTGATGAATAGGAAAATATAAAAGAGTTTAATGTAAAGTTGATTAACTGTCTACCGTCTACAGAAAATTTCCATTTTTAATGATGTTTTCTTGATGTAATCAGAGATCTCTAGGGAAATAATGGGCAGGAAACTAATTGAAAAAATTACAACTTTTGTAACTTTTTTGGAAATTGAAAAAGGTTGTTGCAATTATTTTTGTTTTCTGTGTAATTGGTGACTGGGCTAAAGCTAAAAGTGAAATGATTGAAAAAATGAAGATTGCATCAAACATCCTTATTTTTTTTCTCTTTCTAACATTCTTATTTTGCTCAGGATATATAATATGCTTCATTCAGTTGAATAGCGACAAAACAAAATGACAATAATTACCCAGATATTTCTGTCATTGGATAAACAGTCAAATTTTGTTATTCAATAAGCTTTTTCTGGTTAATTGTATCTTTTTGAATCTCAGAATCAATTTCAGAACTGTCGATGTAAAAGAGTTCAATCCGGTTGAGTTTAAGTTAAAAAATAGGAGATTCGATTTGGCTGACTGGCTGAGTTTCTCTTATTCTTAGGCTAATTGATAGTAAGCTGAAAACCTGGTTGACTGAATCTGTCTACTGTTAATTAAACAACCTAAAGATGAAGTAATATCTGCCATTTTAAGCTAAAGATACTCAATCTTAACTATATTTTACAGTAGTGAGTGAGCAAATGGTTCTGAAAAGCTAAGAACGAACTTTTCGATGCACCAGATTGAAAAAAGCAAAAGCTCGACGCTCCTGGGTGGACTCGAACCACCAACCTTTCGGTTAACAGCCGAACGCGCTAACCATTGCGCCACAGAAGCATATCTGGAGGGATGGTGAGGGGTCATTTTAAAGCTCGCTATTCAGGAAAAAGGGATATTTCTTTGGTTTAATCACCCAATTTTAGCCTTCACTCTTGTTAAAAGTATATTTATTCAACACGAATAATGAATTATAACATAAAGGAGGAAATTTTTACCCCTAATTACTCCTATTACCCAAATGTTGTTAAGAAAAGACCCATAATAATGGGAAAAAGAAGCAATCTTTCTAGCCGCCGGGATCGAGCCCTTAACCTACCAACTAGGAGACAAGACTCCTATCCGGTCGGCTACGACGGCTGTTAGTTATTTTTTTTCTGTTTCTTTAAATTTTCTTCATCAATGACTATAGTCATTGATGCAGAAAAGAAAGAAAAAACTTTAAATTCTTTAGAAAGATAAATCTTTAGAGATTTCAATGTTTTCGGGGCACCAGATCCGATTTAACCAAACACCAACTCTCATTAACGATCTGTTAACCAAGTTTATTATCACTTTCTTTTATTTAATTCATCATCTTTCATCTTGAACCTTTCACGCTGAGTAATTCCATAATTCTAAGTTTGTCCATTTTGAATCTAATTATGAAAAGACGGACGAGTCAATAATTACATGTTGGCGATAAAAAAAATGAAAAATACACAAACTTCAGTCAAAAAACCTAGAATTTTCTTGGAAATCATAATTTCAGTTGATTGGAAAAGAGATTTGGCTATTTTTATTTGTTGATTGGTTAGCTAAAGTTCCTGGTAATGTTTGGAGACTCGTTTTAGATGGATAATTAGTTTTTTTACTTTGAAATCACTTCAAGAAATAGATTTTTACGTTTATTGCATTGTTTTTGCTATTTGCTTTTCAAAATTTTCGATAGATCAGCCGAAAAACGAAAAAAGCGGCTGAGAAAAAGCCCGTATAGACGGACAGAAACTGCTCTTTTATATATAAATAGATTTCTGATTTATTTAGTGTTCGATGAATGATAGTGATCCCCAAAATGACTCTTCTCTGTTCACTTCACTCCAACAATCTCCGCTTCTCATCGATCCATTCGAGATCACTTCTTCTTTTATTTTTCTCATTCTTGGATCAATCACATGCTATATTTACGTCAAAATCCTTCTCCATCATCTAAGGAAAGGCTTCAAATCGCACTATCAAAAGATTTTTCTGATTTTCTCGGCTAATGTGGGTTTATCGTAGAGAAAAAAAAGTTACCTGAAAGCTCTAAAAAAGCAAAAATTCTTCTAGGACCTTGTCGTTTGGGCTGTTCAATATTTGGAGCTTCGTTTACCCACTTGGGGTGTTAATGAATGGCTTTATAGCGGGATTCAAGTATGGGAAATCTGAAACTTTCATCTTATCATACCAAGATATCACTTTAGACTGGTTTTGTTCCTTATTTGATCTACTATTTGGCAGTTTTCACCTTTCTGACTCAATATCTGGGTACTCTTCTAGTGGCTGTGAATCGAGCCTCAGCACTTTATCAACCAACAGCCTATGAAAAGGTAAGGGAAACTAGTCAAATTCATGCTTTTATGCCAAAAAATTTCATGCTATCTTTCACCTTTTCGAAAAAATTAAAGTATACATATGTGTAATTATTTTCTAGAAGTTGTGCTCCAGTTCTTCTCGTTTACTTGTTGTGTGCCATGTTTAAGTGTTTGATAGATTTATGAGCTTGATAGCTTTTAACAGCTTGTAGAACATTTTTTAACCTTTCTCTTTCGGTTTATTTTTATAACCCATCTAATGCTTAAACAGGTAAACGAAAAAAGTGGAGCGCAACTTTTAGAAAACGGTATGAAGCATGAATTTTACTAGTTGCCATGGCTAAGTACTTTACCCTGAAATGCAAACTGACACACTCATCTTATCATACTATATGATATGCTGTATGATTCAAACAAGCAAATCAATACAAGAAGCACTTTAGATCTGGTTGCGTATCACTTGGCCTCTCCTTTTCTCGATCATTTTATTCGCCGGAATCTCTTCATGTCTTATATTCTTTGTAGTCGATTTTTACTTTTACCGCGTCATTTGGGGTTATTATCTACCAATTGATGACTTTCGTCCGGAATTCGTAAGCGATTTTGGTCCATCAAACATTGTTGTAATGGAGTTGCTTGCGAAATAACAGTTAGCGTTTATCTAGAATAATAAAAACGAAAAAACAATCACAATTCGTATACAAAAATGTAGAAGCAAATGGGAGGGAGCGAAAGAAATAAAATCAAATGAATAAAATGGTACAGACTACGGGAAGTTCTTAGTGACAACCCAGACAGAAAGACAGACAGACAGGCAGGCACAGACAGCACAACAGACAACAACGACAGAAAGGGGCGGGGGCGGGCGGCGGCGGGCCGGACAGACAACCTGCAAGGTGCACTTTAGAAAACGACAATTTTGTGGGAAGTATAGCTATGTTCCGAATAAAAATTAGTTTTATTATTCCAGAAATGGTTGGCCGATCTATACTATTGGTTTGCAAATTTCTCTTTATTATTGAGCTTCTTTTTTAATCTGTATGTTTGTTGGATGTTGATAAGGTTCGCGAGAGAAAAAGTGAAATCGATTGCGCCGAGAGAGTATCGATTTCATTTGACAACAATTGTACAATTCTTGGTGATGACGATGAGATCGGTGGAAATTGTAAGTTGAAGAGAGTAGAAAGAGAGTGCTTTGTGCAGAAGATATCTAACAAATTGTTTTCATGTGTTGAGTATCGATCTAGGTGATCTGTCATACTTATACCCCAGATGAGGCGTGGTTCTTTTACGAATTCGCTCCCGTTTTCACGGATCTCGGAAACTTTGTGCCGATTTGGTGAGATTAGATGAGCAATTGTTAATAAATAAATGCTAATAAAATTTCAGGTTTCTCGTTTTTCTTTCTGCTGAAACGAGACGAATCATTCGACGCGAGAAATTCAAAAACAGCAAAACGATTCAAGTTTCGATTGTTTCAGTCTCAGGATAAGCACAAATTTCAATGTTTCTTATGTGCCGATCATCAGAAAATAAATAAATTGATGGAAAAATAAATTTGTAAAGGAGATTACGGAAATCTAAGCTAAGGAGAGCTAAGCTAAGGAGAGCTAAGCTAAGGAGAGCTAAGCTAAGGAGAGCTAAGCTAAGGAGAGCTAAGCTAAGGAGAGCTAAGCTAAGGAGAGCTAAGCTAAGGAGAGCTAAGCTAAGGAGAGCTAAGCTAAGGAAATCTATTGAAACGAAGATGATTTCCTCAGCTAAATTGTCTAAATCGCATCATCGAACCACCCTTTTTGACTACCCGACTTCACGCTTTCAAAAAAAAACATCCAGACATAAGCTTTTAATTAAATTAAACCCGTTTTAATGTTATTTTGCGCGTGAGAGAAGAGAGAGTGCACGAAATGGCGCTGTACTGAAGGCTTACAAAGCTTGCAAAGCTTGCAGCGCCATTTCGTGCACTCTCTCATAATCTCAAACTTTTCGACATTAGGTTCTAAAATTTGAAATCGATAATCGTTAGAATAAAATGCGTTTTTAATAAAATGTGAAAGTATTTTAGCAAAACTTTCTTTTCTTCTAGGCGTTAATTGCAGAAGAAAATTGATGAATTGAAAGATTCTCTAAATCTCACCGTTAACCGCTTTACAATTTGCCAAAGATGTTCCCTGAAACTTATGGATATTATTTCATCGGTAAATTTTAAACCCTCAAATCTCAAAAACATTTCAAACGCTTTTCCTTGTTTGAAAATAAACTAAATAAGCGTTTTATTCTGGGATCAGAATAAAACGCTTATTTAGTTTATTTCCAAACGTCTGGGGTCATCAAAAACTCGGAGAATTCTTCGGTTTTGATAACAAAAAGTTTAGGTAAAAATAAAATGTTAGCCAAAAAACGAGAGATTTCGTGTGACATTTGGACAAGAAGTGGCGTTGCTGTGGCATTTCTGAAATCAAATCTGAGAACATTTCCTTTTGAGATCTATTTTTTGAACAAAATGCTACTAATGGCTACTACGTAGATTTTTGATCACATTTTGAAATAGATTAACCCGAATAAATGGGGTAGAGTAAAAAGGGATTTCAAAACTGGAATGAAGGAAGCAGGAGTTTCGAGTGATCTGAAATGATCTGAAACTCCGTTTGTTCCTAAAAAAAATCCGAAAAACATATGATTACAAAGACCGAGAAGAGTCCTTAAGGATCCGGTGGTGAGAAAAAAAGAGTGTAAGAGTTTTTTTCATTTATTTCGTGAGACAACGCTTTTCACTTTGAAACTTTTCATTTTCTACTTTATAAATCATAATGCCGTTATTTTTAGGTTTCTCTGACTCCGACATTCATTTTGTGAATTTCATTATTAAGGTAATACGAATAAAACAAGTGCCCACATATCTTTCCAAAAATAAAAGGATTACAAGTCTCAGCCAATAAGTGTTGATACTATTAGAAAGCTCTGAATCTCCTCTACAAAATAGTTCAAAAAGATTTTGAATTCGATTGATTATTGGGGATTTGGGTGACTTTTAAGTTCAAAGGTTTAAAATGACCATTTCCTGGAAAATATGTTTCTGATAATAGCCTCGCCATTCGTTGCATGAGTTTTTGCTGCCCCTACGGACCGAAATCCTTGGGATGAATCCAAAAATTCACAGCGGCTCCCTTCAGCACCCTTTTACGGGCACTTGGGATCCCATCTCGAACGACAGAGAACCTGCCATAATGGTCAAGATGGGCCGGAACTGGGTTTGCCAATTCTACAGCCGAGGTTAGTTTTGGGAAGCGGTGACCACATGGGGCAGACAACGGATTGGTTACCGGATGACCCAAAATGGACGCTTCCGATTAGCAAAGTGAAAAGGGAACGATATCTGGAAGCGAAGTATGCCAGATCGAGCGCGATTGTGCTCGCGCACAGCGAACACAAAGCTATCTTCTTTTTTGCCTTTTAAATTTCAAAAACTTCAAATTTTTGAACAGAAAAATTGCACCCGGGGTTTTCGGGGTTGGGGAATCGATTGACAGTCTTAGTTTTTATGCTTTTCTTATACAAAATCAATCTAAAATCAGTGATTGCAATACATTTCCCATTGAAGAACGATTCTAATCTCTCAAGTAATATCTCATCTCTTCTTTGTAGCTTATGTTTTTCAATTTAAACATCTTGAAAACCTTTAAACAGCAGCTATTTCAAGAGCTCTTTTCGTGAATCGAGTAAATCTTACACCTTATATCGAAATGAAAGTGATGGGAATGAAAACAGCGCTCACTTATCTTTCCAAAAATAAAAACATTGTAAGCCTCAGCCAATAAGTGTTATATACTATTAGAAAGCTCTGAATCTCCTCTACAAAATAGTAAACTCTAATACAAGCGCCGTACAGCCGCGTAGTCTATCTTCATTTTAGTAATCTAAATTAATAGTGACCAAAAATCCATCACATTTTTAATGACGAACAATTTTTGATCTTTTTTTTAGGAATTAATCGCTTTTCGCAGACATCGCGTTTTCCGAAATCAGGCTGATTTTTCAGACTGATTTTTCGAAGTGAATTCAAACTTTGATACCATTTTTATCACCAACTTTGTGAGCATTTGGCCACTAATCGCATTCCAGGAAGCCGATCAAGAAAATAATCAAGAGAAGAAGTAAAACTAAGCGGAAATTCACCGTAAACTTGCCTTTTTCACTCATTTACTATTCTCGAATGCATTCAGCTAACATTTTTTGGATTTTATTGTTAGCTTTTCGATTTGAGTTAATCAGGGCAAAGTGCAACGGTGAAGGTGTTAGCTTTAACGAGAATGATCCAGCTTTACAATACTCGGGAACTCAACTGAGTGCTGCTAAACAACAAAGTACGGGGTTTTATGGTTTACTTGACAACATATCATCTAAAAATGTTATCGTAAATCGAAATAGTCACTCACAAGTCTCACTATTTTATTATTTTATGTGACTATGCAACATTTTGGTTGATCACTGATTGTTTCTAAGCTTCAGCAGATCTTTTTCTCTTTATTCTCGATACTAATAACTAATAACTAATAGCGAATAACTAATAACTAATAACTAATACCTAATAACTAACAACGGTTTACTTTACGATTATATTTGAACATAACAAAATCATCGTTTTTCAGCCATTTGCAGTGTTGTTGCTTGCGATGAGTGCTCGATCACACTCGATTTCTCTTATCTTTGTTCAGATGAAAAAGTAATTTTAAAAGCATAGCCAAAAGCTATAATAAACTTTAAACACGTTAGCTACCGTATTTCTATAGTTTTCTATAATGCACCCTTTGATGCAATGCTTAACACTTTTAATGCTCGATCTCTCAAGAACCGTTGATTAGAACTTCTTGCTGAAAATTATAGCTGATAAGTAAAGCTTTTAAATGAAAAACATTTTGAGCACACAGAAAGAACGGATAGCTTTATATATAATCATTTGCATGGGTGCACTACTATTATAGAAAATACAGTAATTCTTTATCAACATTTTCTATCTTCAAAATCGATTTCAGACAATCGACTTTTTGTCATGCAACATCGAGTCGAAAGATCTCCCATTCACGTTAACAAATAAAAACCTGGTTGATCTGAGTAATTGCTTGAAAAGGTATAGCATTGTCTTTTATTGATAAAGAAATAAATGATAAATAAGTTTAAGGGCAACCATCGGAAATTTGAGTCTAAAAAGTTGCACATGGGATTCCAAGGATAAGCAACTTGGGATCACTTGGGATATTCACTCGACAATCGATGCATCAACGATCGCTTTCCTGTTTCGTGTCAATCAATATATGAAAGGTGAGCTAGTGTGGTTGCTCTTTTAAATCTACCGTAAATGCTGTATTAAAATGACGCCCCTTTGACTCCTCGAAATCTTGACTTTAGACCCTCTTGTGGGGGTTCTATGGATAGATCTAGACCTAAAACCTACTAAATCGGCAGTAAAATCGGCAGTAAAATCAGCAGCAAAATTTAAAACGTTATTTTTGAAAAAATATAAAAATAATTTTTTGAAAAAAAACAGAAGGGTCCCCCACATTGATTTTTTTGGAGATTCAAAGGGGGTCGCGGGTAAGTAAATACCGTATTCTCTCTAATAATAGTGCACTCTTTAATAGTATTGCGGTCCAGGAGTGCACTCTCTAATAGTATTGCGGTCCTTTTGACATACAAAATACTAGTGCGCACTACTATTAGAGAGAATACGGTAATTTCACTTTTAAACGTGTTTTTGTACGTTTTCGACAAAGGATCATTGTTTAAAATAGTTTTTAACGAATTCTAAATTTTTGCCTCATATGATCCCCCTTACTTATTTTTTGGATCCGTCGATTTTGAGGGGTTGAAAAATAGAAATAATAATTTCTACATTCTAATACAGCATTTACGGTAAATTTACTTCATTGACCAGCTACTGTTGATAACTACTGTTGTTGACCAGCACATAACCCCTTTGATACTTTAGTTAACACCAGTTTCCTCCCAATACCGTTTACCACAAAGGTCGACAACTTCGAATTCTCTCTTGCTGAGTCCTATCAAAACACCTGGATTGCTTTAGCTTTCGACCAAGGAATACTAAACTACATTGATCTGGAATCGGTTGAAATCTGAGCTCTTGGGTAAAACTTAACAATTCTATTTCAGAAAAACAACAACGAAACATGCAACTATGAGCTTTGGTTAGACAATCCTCCAGGAGATAATGGTGGATATCCAGACAAGCAGTTGCTCACGATCAAGTTCGTGATTTAATTGTAAAGAAATATTGTTCGCGTGCTTGGCACTCTTCACTCAAGACACGTTATTTCTTGTTTCGAGATATCTGATCTCACTTGAACTAAAAACACTTTATTCAATAGCCGACTGACTCGGAATTTTTGGGCTCTCACTTGAGCAATTTTCACACAAGATCGACAATTGAATTAAAAGCGACGATAAAAAACAGAAACAATTTCGTCCTAATTAGGTCCTAATTCGTCCTAACTTTCACACAAAATGAGAGGAAAGCAGAAAGAAAAAAAAAGATAACAAAGATAACAAAGATAACAAAAAAACAAAATGAACAACAGTTGCCTTATATAGGCTTTAACACAAGATACTCAGCTAACAAGCTACAAAACAATAAATGATTTGGGGCTTTACTCTATGACTCTAAGCTTGGAAAATCTGCCCAAGAATCGCATCATTCTATTTATGGTGCCCCTGGCGGGCCTATGGCGAAAGTAGTATTAGCGAAAGCCAATGTTATCGATGGTTTGAGCGATTTCGAAGTGGAAACGAGAGCCTAGAAGATGAGCATCACGAAGGACGTCCTCGATAGCTGGATGAGTCTCAACTTTTGCAAATTATCGAAGAAGATCCCACTTGCACCACTCGGGAGTCGTCGGAAATGTTCAATGTTCATCATAGCACCATTGAAGAGCATTTACATTTGATTGGAAAGCAAAAAAGATGCGGAAAATGGGTTCCATTTGAACTGACCCTCAATCACAAAATTGCCCGTATTTTGTTGTTCACCTGTTCAATTTTGGTTCAAAAACAATAAATGACAATAAATAGAATGAAGGCGCACCGATTTCCTCAATATTTGTCCAATTTTTAGGCTGCCAGAGTTAGTTAACTTTTTAGTGGCTATTCGCCACATTAATGTAGTTGATAGTTTAAAGAATTGAAAAAATCTAAAGCTAAATTTAAATAAAATTTTTTAGAGAAACCGAACCACTAGTGGAGCAATACCTCGAAAACAGTCGCTACAGTCTCCAAATCCCGGCTGGCTGCTCGCCAACAATTCAACTCAGACAGACTGACAAAGACGCTGGGGGTAGATTGTGTTTTTCTCTATAAAAATAGATAGAACAGTGACAACTTTATTCGATTTATTGAATGCATTGAATGCATTTCGATAGATTCAACTGTAAAAACACAATTTTTGTTAGTTAGATGCTAATCAACTAAACTTTTATGCTGGTATGATGAGGCACAGTCACTCTGTGAAGGGACAGCCCTTGTCACGACACTCGGCTATCTCGACCCATACAACGAATTCCCTGATGATTATTATTTGAGCCGAATGATTTACTGCGGTACGTTTTTGCTTTGAAAATTAAGCAAAAGAATTCTATGTTACAGTAAGTTTTCTCTCGAACGTGACACTTGAGGTGATGAGGGTTGTCAATCATGAGGTTACGGTTAACCTCTTCGATGCTCAGCTTCAGTTAATTGGGAAGTTAGTGATCTTGCATGAAAAATAAATGAACAGCAACGTTTTTTTGAGACACATAAAGTTCGAATTGGCATTCGAAACTCAATATACCCAAATGCAAACTCATTTTTAGTTTTACGATCGATGCTGGGACTTTGAATACGACCTACGAGCTTTCGGACATCAGTGCCATTCAAGTGGGCCTTGATTTATAAATTGATTTCTAAATTAGTGACAATTTTGAGTAATTTACTCCAATGTTTGAAGTAATTGCTAATTAAATAAAGATCTTATTTTACAAAAAATATTTTCAGCTCTACTGGTCTCCTCATGAAGCCACTAGTGATTCTGGGGTAGCCGCAAGAGTCCATGTGACAGGTGCTCATACACCCCCGACTACAACAACTACTACAACAACTACTACAACAACGACTACAACAACAACTACTACAACAACTACTACAACAACTACTACAACAACTACTACAACAACTACTACAACAACTACTACAACAACAACAACGACTATTTGGACGATTGGAACTGAAACGACGACCACTACAAGTACAGTTTAACTTATAGTTCTCGATGGTATTTGTTGGTCGCTAGTCGTTTGCTAAATGAAAAGGAGTCATTTTAAAAAAGTATGCCAAAAAATTACACGAAACAGTTATGAACGTGATATTTAGAAAAATATTATAGAAAGTATCGATCGCACTACAACAACAATCCAGATTCTGACGCACCCAGATCCAGATTCTGACGAAACAACCCCTCCACCAACGACAACGGAAGAGTTAACATCAAGTCCAACTACAACTGAATTGACGACTACCAATGCGAATGCTTCTCAACTTTACTCTTTTGTTTTTCTTCTTGTTGTATTTCTGCTTTGAGAAATTACGTGTTAAAAGTTTATTTGTTGTGTGTCGCAACAAATTATGAAAACAGAATAAAACAGAAACAAAGTACAGTACAGTAAAGCATTTTAGTCAATACTCGAAATGCAGGCCGTTTTTTCGCTGATTTAATAGAATTGTTATTTCAGAAAAGACTTTTCTAAGCGAAAGTATAATATCGAATTTTGTTGTAAGGAAATTTGACCTGTACTTCAGAAACTGTCTAGGTGTCATGATGATCGTTTTATTTGTGAAATTAGCATCTAATTGGGGATGTAGTCTACATTTTGAGTGTCCCCCTTTTGCCCCCTCGAAGTAGTCTGTAACAGAATGATAAAAATAAAACCAAGAAAAGTAACATACCTTTTAGTGACTTCGTCTTGGTCAGCATCTTGTACGGTGATCATCGATTCCACAAGTGAGGGCAGTAGTCGTTCTCTTCTCTTATTGCTATAGATGACTCCCAAGCGGCTTAAAAACAAAATTATGCCAATATTTAGAATAAAAATGTGCTGAATTCAATGGTGATTCAATAAATTCAATAAAAATTATCAAAATCCGTCTTGTAGATTTTTTAAAATCGCATTTTATCAAAAAAATCGGTCATTTTACACAGAAACGGTCAAACTCACCTGCATTTGGCCCTCCACTACTCGATGATGACAAAAAATTAGGAAAGCCCAGGGAGTAGACTTTGTCAAAATGTTGTCTGCGGTCATTTTGAGACCAAAATCGTATTAATTGGTCAACTCACAAAAAAGTTATAACATTTTGAAGACAAAAATGACGTTTGACGACTTTCTCCGCCCTAAAACGTGGATAATACCGTAACCCTTCCCATGGCGAAAAAAAAACTACTTAAAGAGCGCTTGCAAAGAATTTTTTTTCAGTTTATTTTTCTTCTTTTTACGAGCTTTCTTTATCATTTTCATGTCATAATAATTGTTTCTTTTTTTAGATACCCAAAAATGAGTCGACCAAAGAAACGCAGCAAAATAGAAAAGCAAACGATCGAAACCAAGAGAGAGAAGCAGTGGATGAAGGTTTCAAGCCAACTTAAGATGGAAAGGATTAGAACAAGCAAAAAGGAGATTAGTAGAATCAAAAAACGCAAACGCGTTGAAATGTTGCAGAAGCTTCGTTTAGCCCGAAACATTTATCGTCGTTACCTGAAAAAAACGACGTAGGCGTCCAATTGGTTGTGGATCTCTTCTTTCCCCTCTTGAAACATTGGCTTTGATGTCAAAATCTAAAATTACTCGTGATGCTCACAGAATGTATAGCCGTCCGACATCTCTTTTTTGCCAGCGAGTATCAAATGGACAGGACCCGGAAAGCTTCAGCACAATACGTCGATTATGAGATATCAGGGAACGCTATTGTATTGAAAGATCTATTTGCAGCAGAAAACATCAATTGAGTCAGCTGAACGACTCTGAAACGGAACGGTTGATTATAATGGGCGATAAGGGACTTAATAGTACAAAGTTAACACTTATGCTTCCAGACAAGAAACACAATCCTCAATCATGTTATAACCACTTGCTGTTTGAAAAGGAGGAGACGACCATCAAAACCTGCTAAAATACAGTAATATTGTCGACAAGCTCGCACCACTCAAAAGACAGATATTTTTGGGAGGTGATCTCAACTTTCTTGCAGCGTCATTTGATTGCATCAACTTACCCCTGCATTTGGTGTATATATAAAGTGGACAAATCCCTAAATCCAACAAAAGTTATCACGAATTTCGATAGACATCAATATTCTGTTCGAACAATCAAACACTTTGATGACATTCTGCAAAGAAAATCTGCCAAACCTGAAGAGAAGTTGGGCGTCTTTCGTCGATACATCCATCGTGTTGTATTCCTCCTGTGCTACACCTTAAACTTGGTTTTGTTAATTGCATTTTTAAAGCTATGGAAACAGAGGCTCGTGCAAGCCATTCAAAAGAAGGAGAGGCATTTGTACAATTGACTGAAAAATTGGGTCTGAACAGAGAAAAGAGTAAATCTTACAAATCCGATGATTGAAGACCAAAGTAGAAAAAATTATGTGCAAATATAAACGCATTTCGACCGATTGTCAGTTCACTTGCCTACAAAAAGTTATGTGATTGTCTGGAGCTTTTTAATGAATTCTCGCGAACGATCGGATCTACAAAGAGCGTTCTATCGGACAAGGAAATCCCAGTAATACTTTCGGCTACAGACAACTTACTTAAAGCTATGGAACTAAAGAATATTGGACTAAAAACTGTCAAAGCCCACGTAGCAATTGAACACGTTCCCCTTTTTCTATCAACACATAAAGCGCTAGGGTCTGTGTCAGAAGAAGATCTCGAATGTCTTCATTCTGTCTTCAATCAGCTATGTAAGAGGAATAAACGCGCGGATGATCTCGAAATTTATCTACATGCGGCAAGAACATACTCTATTTTTTGATGCATTTGTTTTCATAATTTTTAAATAAACATACCTTTACACACTTGTCCTTGACTGATCTTTACACACTTTGATCAGATTTGGTCAGCTCGTATTTTTCGCACCGTCTCCGACACATTTTTCCCCGGTCGTTAATTTGGTCTGTTGAAAGAACGACATCACTAAATGAAATTTTAGTATAGATGGCTAAATTGACAAACAAACTCAGAAAAGCATGGACCCCTTTGTCATTATCGAGCTTGAGAGGACCGGCGTTGTGGCTCTTGCACAGTTTCTCCGCTTGATCCATCGAATGAGTCACCACATTCATGTTCTAAAGCAAAATATTAGCGGATAAACAGTTAGATCATGTGTCATTAGAAAAAATCAAGTGTAACTTACAAGATGGCATCCAAGGACATCGCTTTGCTCTCATCCATCTCCGCATTCTCGCGGTTTTATGTATCCCGGCGACGCAGTTGCACATCTGATCACCCACCATTTCGTTTACCTGTAAAGAAAAACATTTATTAAAGTACAAAATGTTAAAAAAAACTGCAAAAAGCAAAAAACAGGTAGGGGCAACTGTGCTAAATCATGATTAAGTAGGGAAAAACAAGGCAATTTCGGCGTGGGACTGGTTTAGTTGCGTTTATTATGTTTTTTTTCTATCGGTAAAGCACACAAAAAATCTAAGTTACTGTTGAAATTTTAAAAATATCAAGAAATATCGAAAAAATGACTAGGGGACAAACAGGGGAGCAAAAGGGGACATAGGGGGAGGGGCATTCGAAATGTCTAGGGTGTGGTCTACGGCAAGCGCTTCAAAAAAAGTCTTCGATAATTTCATAAACTGCCTCACATATCTAGCTTGATTCTAATTCTGAAGAAAGCCTATGTGGAAACATTTATCATCATTTTGAAGTGATCCCAGTTGAATCGTTTCAAAGCTTGATGACTTTATTTCGTTGAGAGTACATATAGAAGAGAGGTTTGATCTGTTTGAACTTTTTGGCAAAGACAGATGGCTTTACAGTGATTGTCTTTCATCACAGTTTCAATTCCAAGATGGGAAAGGGGTGTACCTAATGAGTCAAAAAGAAAAACGAAAAGAGGGCAAACAAAGTGATCAGTGAACAAGTGAGGGGGGAAAAAGGGGGAAGCTAGGTGTCAAAATGACGATACCACAGATAAAAGAGATAAGAGAATGAAAGAAATGGCCTATAAATTAAAATCCACTTGATACTTGATCACACTTTTGGTGTTGGTTTTGCAAAATCCGTGAAATATTTACGTTTTGACGGTTTGCGTAAAATAATTGTGTTGAAAGCTGTGGGGGTGGGACAAATGCGACCTTTTTTTTGCGCACCTGGACATTTGCGCACCTTTTTTTTGCTGGAAAAGGCCTTAGGAAAGGTCGTAGAGCTTCGAAAATATTTCCATATAAGGGAATTGTATGCGTAGATTCCGAATTTCGACAAATCAGACCTCGCTGTCACGTCAAATTTGGGCTAAAAGGCAAAAACTACGCAACTTAACGCTTTTCCGCAGTTTTTGCCTTTTAGCCCAAATTTGACGTGTCAGCGAGGTCTGATTTGTCGAAATTCGGAATCTACGCATACAATTCCCTTATATGGAAATATTTTCGAAGCTCTACGGCCTTGCCTAAGGCCTTTTCCAGCAAAAAAAAGGTCGCATTTGTCCCACTCCCAAAGCTGTTGAAGACTGTTGACAAGTATCATAAATTTTCGGTATTTTTCTGTGGGTGGTTTTTTGAAATACTCAGATTTTTGTATACTTAACCTTTTTCCCAGATGGTCGAGTGGTTAGAAGCCTTGTCCCTAGTTTGAGGGTCAAGGGTTCAATCCCGCTGACTAGATTGCCAGTGTTTTTTTCCAAGCAAATGAGTTGATCATATCAACATTTATTGTCAGGGGTTTTGTATTGTGTTTGTGTTAATATGCTGAATAAATGTATTATATAGATAGTGCTATTTCCAAAGTCTTTTCTTTTAGGGGTAGACTAGTTTCCGCAATTTTTTTTGCGCAACAGGTGTCATTTGCGCAACTCGCTATAACTTTCTTCTAAGTGGGCCACTCTTTATGCTTTTGGTGTTATTTTGTTGCACTTATTGAGATCTACAAAATGAAACCAAAATCATAAAGATTGGCGCACTTAGAAAAAAGCTATGGCAAGCTGCGCAAAGGACCCAGTCGCGGAAACTAGCCTACCCCATCTTTTAAAAACAAATTAACTAACAAATGTAAGAATGTAAGCTACGCTTTGTAGCTTACAAAGCTTTTGAAGCTTTATTTATTATCTTTTTTCTCAATCGGTTGTCTACTTTGAATCTTTTTTAGATTAATGAACGTCAGCCGACTGATTTCATTCATATTTTTATTTACTTTTTGTGTATTCGCTCAGAACTTCGATGGCTTTCCAAAATTCGGCAAAAATTTATGGGCCAATGGAGAGAATGTAAATTGATAGCGTTTATACTTTAGAAATCAGAATTTTCAGGTGACTTTAGAGGGAGTTGTGTCCTTTGAAATGAAAGATTGGCTGATCGATAACGAGGCGAAAACAGAGATTTGGGGTAATGAGAGATGTATGGAAGATATGGCCGATCTTCGTGCTTCACTTTCGAGGATATTGAATGCGATGCTAAAGAAAAACCTTTCAACGTTAAACGATTTCGACAAAACTGTCACTATTCAAGGTTGGAATAAAGTTGATCATTTTTTAGGTCATTTTTTTATAGTAATCGACTCAAATGGTGGCTATAATGGAGGGTTTTTGAAGGGTCGAAAAGTGTTTGCTGGTCGTTTCGATGAATGTCGTGGGATAAAATACAATGGAGCTGATCGATCGAATGTTTGGGAAGGGGATATGTTCAGGTTAGTGATGGTTATGCAACTAGATTATTCAACTAGGCTATTCAACTAGGCTATTCAACTAGGCTATCCAACTAGACATTGGAATATTGCAATTTCTTTATTTCCAGATTCTACTTCGGCAAACAAAAAGATTCAATCTGTGCATCGGGATCGATCCTTTTCGCCTTTGATCAATGTCTTCCCAAGTCATGCAAAGTAAATGAGATACGAAAACTTCTCGAGATCAAGGAACACAGTTGGTCGTCAAAGAATTCATTCTCTATTCTCTTCTAGAAGACATTTGCCTTGTCGTGAACAACGATTTCGCCAAAACGTACAACAAAAACAATTGGCTCTCCTGGTTTCTCGGGTTCGTTACTAGTTATCGATTTTATTAGAAAACAATTTTCATAGTAAACATTTTCAAAATATAATGTTAAAGTGACTCATGATCAACTGAAAATCGGTGATTTAGAATTCTCATGATAGCCATCTTCGTGGTGAGTGTTATTTCCGGAATCATCGACTATTTTCTCGCTGATCACATCGAGGGAACACAAATTAAAGATTGTAAGTAAAAGAAAACGAATAGATTTGCCTCAAAAAAAAGTTATGTTTACTCGACAAACTCTGCGAGTTTTGAAAGTTCCAAAGTCTCATTTCCGAGCTCTTTGATGTCGTTTCAGCAAAGTGCTTCGGAGATTCGAAGTAGTCCTCCAAACATCAGCATTGCGATTGTTGCCACACTTCTTTCTTTTCTTGCTATCCTCTTTAGTCATCTATCGATCACAATTTTCAGCTCTTCTAGTGAAATGGCTTGATGATGTTTGACCGGAGTGTCTGTGCTGCCTGCAAAATCGCTTGGATATGTTGCTGTCATGTCGAGCCGATTGCCATTGAAGAAGTTGAACGCTACCATCTTGACTTGTTTAGAGCGCTATGTTTAGTACTTCCCAACTTCTCCAGCAAGAAGAGTACCAGTGACGAGGTGTCCTTCCGATCCAGATCTCATTTTTTTGCGAAACGTCCTTTCGATTTCAGCTCAAGTGTAGACGTTCAGTAATGACGCGGTAGTTTTCCTCCGATGAGTTCCTTCAGACGTTTCCCCAGTATTTGTGGCATTTTTGCTTGGTTGACGAGATCGATTACCGAAGACCATTTCTCGCGGATGAATGCGTCTATAATTAAACAGAATTAAATACTTAGTACGGTTTCAATAAAACTCTTATTACAGTACATTACGCAAAATTGTCCAGAATGAAAATTACACCAAAATTTTTCCTTTTTAAAGACCCTTATCCACGAAATAGATTCCCCGGCGGACTACGGTAGCCAGAGCAGCTTATAAGAAAAATACGATTTCAGTGCTCTGGTATCGTCTCTTCATCGCTTTCTCTCTATCGAGCAACGTGAAAGGCATTTTAAATACAAAAGGCACAAATAAGGTTGTTGTTTGAAAAATATCATAAGAATTCAAAGTTTACAATAGATTTGAAGTTAAAAGACGTATTTTTTTTGATTGTACAATTTCAGCCCGGTCAAATCGGTCCCCTTCATTGTATGCGCTTCTTGTCGATGGTCTGGGTCATCATGGGTCACACAAACGAGAATTTGATTTCATTAACATGTGAGTTAGAAAGAAAAACTATCGATGATGTCACGACGATACTTGATTTGCTTTATGAACTTGCAATTGCGTCTACGAATTGTTAGTTATGGTTCTAATTGTTGGTTGTTGTTTTAGTTGTTCTTTTAATTGTTCTAATGTAAAATTTGACTTAAACAAGCTAACCCTAGCTTAAAGAACTTTGCATCTAATCCTTTAAAAGTTAGTTTCTCTGACTTTTCTCTGACTTTTCTCTTACTTTTCTCCTAAAATCTAGATTCAGGAAAGCAAAAACTCCAAAGCGGCACCCAAAACGGCACTCAAATTACTCAAATTCATTAAAAAACACATAAAATCTAGGTTTTGTAAAGGAAAACCAGGATGCAATATGCTTAAAATCAGCTATTATCGACATTTTTTCAGCAATTTTTCAGCAAATCCACTTGACATTCTTGAAATTTCGAAAAAAGCTCAATTCAATCTTCTCTCGAACACATTTTTCGCCGTTGACACATTCTTTTTCATTGGTGGCTTGCTGTTGGCTTATATTTGGTGAGTTTACCTATAATCGATTTATATAAAAAGCATCTTTTAAGGTTTAAAGAATTCAAGAAAAATCGTCGATTGGCTCTTTCTTTAAACGGTTGGCTCATGTTTTACATTCATCGAATTTTACGGTTCGTCATTTGGCAAGATTTATCAATAGAATCAATTAAAATTTAGATTATCTCCTCCCTACTATCTAGCTTTCTTCTTTTGGGGCTATATCTTTATCCCAAATATGCCCGAATCTGCGAATCGTTTATTTTCTGGGTATACGAAATGTTTTGTGTTATTGTTTTGTGAAAAATCATATTTTTAGTGGTGGAGGTAATGATCCTTGCCGGAGTTTTTGGTGGCCAGCGATGCTTTACGTTCAGAATTTGGTTCATCCACAACATCAGGTTGTGGACTTTAAACAAAACGAGTTCATTTCAATATTTAGTGTTATGGTGTCACTTGGTATCTGGCAGCTGACATGCAAATGTTTGTCTTTTCTCCGATTCTTCTCGTCACTCTGGCAATGAATTTGGTGAGGGTTTGTCTTGATCGAGTCTTGGACTTGCAATGGACTTGCAATTGCGTCCACGAATTGTTAGTTTTTGTTCTAATTGTTAGTTGTTCTTTTAGGTGTTCTTTTAGTGGTTCTAATGTAAAATTTGAATTAAACAAGCTAACCCTAGCTTAAAGAACATCTAATCCTTTAAAAGTTAGTTTTTCTTACTTTTCTTGTACTTTTCTCCTAGTTTTCCAGATTCTAAATTAAAAACAAAGTCTACAATTAGAGATTCTAATCTAAAAGCTGACTTAAACCAACTACAAACTACAAACACTTAAAGCAATCGATCACAATCGATCAATCGATCAATTTAGCGACTCGGCCTCATCATTGCAGGATCAATTCTTTTCCTATCAACAAGCGGAAACATAGCCACAGTCTACCATTTCCATTATCCACAAGGACCCCATGTTTTTGATTTACCCGATCCAAAAGAAAGCAATGGAGTGTGAGTTTTTTGCTTTGCATTTTTTTCAATGCTTTAACAAAACTGTTTCAGTAACTACATGTGGTTAATGTATACCTCACCTTGGATTCGTTGTCAGATTTATGTAATTGGACTTCTCATTGGATACCTTTTGCAATACAAAAAACATCTAAAGATTAATAAGGTAACAAAAAGCGATGCAAAAGAACAAAAACAAAAAAAAACAATAAAACCCTTTTAGTGGCTAAACTTGTGTCTTCTACTTGCTTCAATGGCTTTTATGTTGTTTGATGTGATGGTTTTGCACTTAACACCACATGAGTGAGTGAATTTAACGTCAAAGCTCTTGAAGGCAAAGCTCTTGAAGGCAAAGCTCTTGAAGGTCAAAGCTCTTGAGGGCCAAAGCTCTTGAAGGCAAAGCTCTTGAACGCAAAGCTCTTGAAGGCAAAGCTCTTGAAGGCAAAGCTCTTGAAGGCAAAGCTCTTGAAGGCAAAGCTCTTGAAGGCAAAGCTCTTGAAGGCAAAGCTCTTGAAGGCAAAGCCTTGAAGGCAAAGCTCTTGAAGGCAAAGCTCTTGGGCAAAGCTCTTGAGGCAAAGCTCTTGAAGGCAAAGCTCTTGAAGGCAAAGCTCTTAAACATCAAAGCTCTTGAAGGCAAAGCTCTAAACGTCATCTTGAAGACCATCTTTTAAATATTTTAAGTAAATTTAACGTGAAAGCATTACAATTGTAAGTCTATTTTTGATTAGGAAGTCAAAAATCCTAGGAATTGCTTCTCTTGCATTGCAAATAAGCTATCAAATCAAGAAAGTTGAATAATTCAATTCAAATCATACGTCTATAGTATTCAATTTCTTCTTGAATCAAAAATCTTATAAAAACGAAACGAAAGTTGTATTTGCAGTAAAGTGATGCCAATCTTCTGGCGAGCCATCTATTCAGCTTTCTCGAAGCCTTTATGGGGATTGTGTCTGTCATTGATTGTCATTTCATGTTACTATGGATATGGAGGTAATCAAAACAAATGTACGAATAAAAAGTTAACCCACAGGCCTAATCAACTCATTCATGTCGTGGCCTGGATGGGCTCCATTGGGTCGTCTAACTTATTCAGCTTATCTCATTCACTATATGGTCATTTACTACTTGATCACCATTCATCCATCCGAGATCATTTGGGGAGATTATTTCGATATTGTAAGCTGTGACTTTGAAGTTTTCTATATTCTATATTATTCGAAAAATTTTAGTTCACTTCTTTCGCGATTCCAGCCATTTTACTCACCTACTTTTTGTCGCTGTTTTGGAGTTCATGCTTTGAGGTGGCAATGGGAAAGGTGAAAGGACAATTAGGAATTTTAAAAATACATTTATTCAGCTCTCTATCAAAGTTCACTTTTGATAAGAAACGTTTATGTATTCATGATTTTTATAGGTTGAAAGCATTTTGATCGGAGGTCGACGTAAGCCTGAGGCAAAAAATGTCGAGATTAATCAAAACGGAAAAAAGATTGAGGTTGTTTGAGACAAAATTCATGAATCAGAAACTTTATAGACTCCAAATGATCACGAGAAACCTCAGTCAACGATTGTTTCGATGGAAAAAGATTAACCATTTATACAAGCATCTTGTTTCTTCTGTATAGCTTTTAAATTTTGTTTTATTTTTGTGCATTTGCTTTTATTCTAAATGATTAGAGCTTTAAATACAGAAGCTTTAATAAAGTGATTTTCGATTTTCTTACCGTAAATACTGGCTAGTAAAAAGGCTTTAACCCATGCCATAAATAGAGATAAAAACTAGCAAATCTAGATGATGACGTTGACCTTCGAGTTCATTCTTCTTTCGATTAAAGCCGAGCTTTATGTGCCGGCACTTGCTGGCAGAATCTTCGGCATTTGGGATTCCGTTTTCGGGATCGGAGCCCAGCATGCTATGGTAAAGTTATCCATTTTGTATCTGATTTTAATGTTTAAAACTATTTTTCTGTTGTGTTGGATATCATTTTGGGATTAGCATACCGTAAATACTGTAATAGTACCGCACCTCCCTCGTACAGTCGCGTAGTCGCAAAAGTTTTTTAGTATTTCATTTTTTTCAAAGCGCCCGTACTTTCAAAAAATGTGTCTTTGATATCAAAAAATAGCTGAAATTCAGGGCTATTTTTTGATACCTAAGCGCGCATTGTAGCATAAACCAATGTCGAGAAAAACTCGCTCAAAGCTAGACCACGCAACACTCCGCACCGTCATTATCTTTGGTATCAAAAAACAGCCCTAAATTCCAGCTATTTTTTGATACCTAAGCGCGCATTGTAGCATAAACCAGTGTCGAGAGAAACTCGTTCAAAGCTAGACTACACAACACTCTGCACCGTCATTATGGGGATGGGGTACTATTACAGTATTTACGGCATGTCATTTTCTCATGTTAATGATGAAATGTTGGGAAATTTCTGTTCAAATCGCTGTTTATTCAAAAAACATTTACTGTTGTCTTATCGCTGTAACAGAAACCGAAACAATCCTTTTTGAAACAATCGAATGAGTCAAATTTCTTGAAATCTTTGAGATGCCAGCTAGTTCGAGAATATATTTTCGATATGGTTGAGTTAATAAAAGAAGAGAAATTGAAGAGATTGTTCCGTGGGATGAGATGATGGCAAAGAGGAAATTGTTCAGTTCTGAATGGTAATTTTGATGGAATAATACAATAGATTACAAAAAAAAACAATAGATGATAAACCTGGATTGATAAACTTTGATTCGGAAACCATAGCAAAGGCAAAATATCCCCATGGAGTAGCGATGGCTAATACAGGGATCATCATCTGACAATTATGAACGTTATTCTTGGGTTTTTGAAATAAAATGAATGAAATAATAATGAAATCTAAGTATTAAATGAAAATTCGAAATCTCTACATGTACTAAATCTAAATGTATAGCCATGATCACAAACCTGAACACAAAGTGAGACAAAGAATTTCTTTTGCATTCTTCTCGTCCGCGAACTCACTTGTAAACTCGTGTTTGAGATCAAATACATACACAAATAAATACTCAAAATAGCCTGGAATTGATTTTCGTCTTTTGTCTTTTCGTTTACTCAATAATTTACAGAAAACGATGTGAAAACGATGTATCCAAAGATTGAACAAGCCACAAAGGTGATACTGGAGAGATTCATGTATGGTGATAAAGGTTTAGCCATCACTACATAGATGTCGCTGAGGTTTAAGTGAAATGAAAAAGCTGGGTAAAGCTGGAATTGATGTGTTTAGATATTGATCTACTGAAGCACTAACTTCAATAAGATTTTGAAAATTCTTTGTCCCTGTTCCCTGCTGTAAGTCGAGCAGCTCAAAGCCGGCAACTGGGAAAATCGGAAAGATCACATAGGAGATGCCAAAATAACAGACATAGCCGACTGTGTGCAATCTGAAATACTTGCATTTAAACCTACAATCAATGTGATAGAGCTGTAAATAGAAGCTTTAAAAGCTGTAAATAGATTTGTTCGTTTTCACGCATTGATAAAGCTTACTTGTATCGGCTATTCATGTCGAGTAAACTCTGCAATTTGTAAAAGAAAAGTTGAATGACCGAGGCAGCGACCCAGCAAAGAGAAAGACAACTGATACCCTGAATTTCGATATGTTAATCGATTCATATAGTAATCAACTTCAATTGAAATACCTACCGTGAATACTGTACCCCACCCCCATAATGACGGTGCGAAGTGTTGCGTAGTCTAGCTTTGAACGAGTTTTTCTCGACACTGGTTTATGCTACAATGCGCGCTGAGGTATCAAATAAGAGCCCTGAATTTCAGCTATTTTTTGATGCCAAAGATAATGACGGTGCGGAGTGTTGTGTAGTCTAGCTTTGGACGCGTTTTTCTCGACACTGGTTTATGCTACAATGTGCGCTTAGGTATCAAAAAATAACCTGAATTTCAGGGTTATTTTTTGATACCTAAGCGCGCATTGTAGCATAAACCAGTGTCGAGAAAAACTCGTTCAAAGCTAGACTACCCAACACTCCGGACCGTCATTATGGGGGTGCGGTACTATTACAGTATTTACGGTATGCTAACCCCAAAATGACATCCAACACAACAGAAAAATTGCTTTAAACATTAAAATTAGATACAAAATGGATAACTTTACCATAGCATGCTGGGCTCCGATCCCGAAAACGGAATCCCAAATGCCGAAAATTCTGCCAGCAAGTGCCGGCACATAAAGCTCGGCTTTAATCGAAAGAAGAATGAACTCGAAGGCCAACGTCATCATCTAGATTTGCTAGTTTTTATCTCTATTTATGGCATGGGTGAAATCCTTTTAAAGCTAATTTAAAGCTTAAAGAAGTGAACTAAAAAGTTTCAAATCGTAAAAGACGGATTTATTTTTTTTCTACCTGATACGTGGCTAAATGCACTCGATATTCTCTCATTTCTGTCGGCGTTTTTCTCAAGATACAATACAATGTGAATAGGTTTAATGGAATTGAGATAAATTGTAGAATATTTTCATAATTAATATAAATATATGGAACCTCAAACATCCGTTAGAAATGATTTTATAGTTTTATGAATTTTATGAATTTTATGAATAATTTTTATATTAAAAGAATCGGTTTCAGTGATAAAAGATCACCTGTTTTCCTTTCACATTGCTTGGCTAATTATCAGATACATTTTTCTTCTCTTCTGGTTATTGTTGAGAATTCCTGTAATTTGCACTGTACACGTTTGTTTTGTTCGTTTCTCAAAAAAAAAACATTTTGAATGATAATCTAATCATAACAGCTAATACAAAAAGGAAGCTTTTTAGCCCTTTTACACTTTCAGACAAGTTATTTCTACAAGCTTTTATAGCTGAATATACCGTATTTTCTCTAATAGTAGTGCACCCTGAGCGTTGCCTAAATTCCTCGAAATCTCGAGAACCGCTTATCAGAACCTATCGATGTGGGGTCGGAAAATGTAGCTGACGATGAGATCTAGTGGGGGATTTGAGTGTTGAGCTTCTGCAAAAGCTTGGAAACCGTAAAATAGTCATCAACTCGGCTCGCCGGAGTGCACTACTATTAGGGAAAATCCGGTATTATACTTACTTGATGATTGTTCAAACAAGATCCCGATCATTTGAACTCAATTACAACCAACTGTTAATTCATCTACCGTATTTTCTCTTATAGTAGTGCACCCTGAGCGTTGCCTAAATTCCTCGAAATCTCGAGAACCGCTTATCAGAACCTATCGATGTGGGGTCGGAAAATGTAGCTGACGATGAGATCTTGTGGGGGATTTGAGTGTTGAGCTTCTGCAAAACTTTGGAAGCCGTAAAATAGTCATCAACTCGGCTCGCCGGGGTGCACTACTATTAGGGAAAAGCCGGTACAGGAAAAACACACCTTTTAAATGGCGCACCGAACCCTTCAAGCACACCGAATGATTTCTAGAGTGATGCATAAGGAGAAATCTTGGCCTAAGCCTTTCTTCCTCATTTTCTACTGATAAAATACCGTATTCTCTCTAATAGTAGTGCACCCTCGAAATCTCGAGAACCGCTTATCAGAACTTATCGATGTGGGGTCGGAAAATGTAGCTGACGATGAGATCTTGTGGGGGATTTGAGTGTTGAGCTTCTGTGAAAACTTTGGAAGCCGTAAAATACTCATCAACTCGGCTCACCGGAGTGCACTACTATTAGAGAAAATCCGGTATATTCTTATCAAATTTAAGTTAATTTTTTTGTTTCTGAGTGTTAAAAAAATGTTAAAAAAGACAGGGTTCAAGATTTTTGACGAGATTTGTGGATTATCCTCTATTCAAACTGCAATTAATCCTCTTTTTGTTTATTTTAATGATCAAATCAGAGATCAGAAGCTCATAATTGTAAACTTTTTTTGATTTATGACAAAATATTGAACTTTGAAAGGAAGAGCTGATAGATTTATCTAGCTTTAATTGTGTTTTTCTCTTTGATAGTGAGCCATTCCCGGGCCAACTATCAAATACTTGACTATCAACTATCAAACTATCAAATATTGGGTTGATGGAAGAGTCCTTTCCGATTTTTTGGGAGAGTACCTTAAATTTGCCTAATTTTGACGCTTTATAGCTCATTCTAAAGCTGAATTCAAGATGGATCGATTGGTAAAAACCGTTTTGAGATATCTCTTTTCTAAAAGTTTTTACAGTTATTTTAGTAAAGGTCGGCAGAGCCAAAAAATGGCTGTTTTCACGTTTCGTTAGTTTTCCGTGCAGAAACCTAGGCTAAAAACATGTGTTTCGTGATCAGCGTTAAAAATAAGCCCTAGACACGAAAGGACTTTTCCATCAACCCAATACTTGACCAAATTCATTTGCAAAAGCATCTATCAAGATTTGGATAAAAACTAGAAAAAAACAAATTCAAACTGAATAAGTTGTTTTATCAAATTGCGCGATTGAGACAAATCTTGATAATAATTGACCTTTAATCGATGACAAAATCTGTTTATTAAATGATTCAAATAATGATTTAATCACGAGCACTCACAGTCAGAGATTGACTATGAGTAATTGATTGCACGATATGATTGCATGATATGATTGCACCTTGATTGCCCTATGATTGCACCTTGATTGCCGAATTTTCGATGCAATACGATTGAAGCCAAACATCGTCTATCCGAATCATTCCTTTCTCTCATAAAAGAAGGGAATTTGATGCAGATGTTTGGAAATTTTCGTCTTAATTCCATTTCATTCGACTTTCCCACAAAACACAGCCATTTCTTCTGAGAATCGCCTGTCTCGACTAAAGAAAAGAAAAAATAAATCTGCATTTATGAGCGATAAAGTAGTCAATATAAAAAGCGACTAAATAAATACCGGTTTGGGATTTTAAAGAAGTAACTCACAAGGAAATGTTCAAGGTTTTGGCGCTCATTGTTGTGGTGATGGCCGTTGTTGTCGTGTATGCTGAGGTGAGAAGATTTGAGGATTTGTAGGGTTAGATAGCCAACAGTTCTTACAATTACAAAAACGATTAGCAATTTTTAGGACGCTACCACCGGTGTCACTCGTCACCATCACCGAGATCATACTCGCCCTGAGGTTTCTTGCTAAACCTATTTCCACAATATTTTTTAAAAATCTCTTTACTAAAGCAAACAAAACGATTAGCAACTGCCAATCAAACCCTGAAATTTCAATTTTGATTTTGGGTTTGATTGGCAGTGATCGTCATGAAGATCATAAGGTTTTGTAGATTCTATTCATTAGCAAAACAAAATTGTAGGGTGTCGGGAATCACAAGGATCATTCGAAGCATCCAAAAGATTTTCATGGAACTGGAAAGCCTAACTGGCACAAGGGAGAGCAAAAGGGAGAACATGGACATGGAGATCACAAGCACTCCCATAAACACCACAATAAGAAATTCACGAAGGCAAGTTGCTCTAAAAAGATTCTCAAGCTTATGTAAAACTCGTAAATTCAATCCCTTTTATTTAAAGCCTTGCATCATTGCACTCAAAGAACGATGAAATCTCTCGTTTCTCTTCAATCTTTTTCTCTATCTTCTCGGGTACATCCTGGGTTCCTTTTAAAAACTTTTCTCTGCAAAAGTCTGGAAATTCTTTGCTGAGAAGAAAATGAACTTAAAAACTAACTATAAGAATCAAAGTCAAAAGGGAATACGGTTCGAATACGGTTCTTTTCAGATCCAATACGGTTCTTTTTAGATCCAATAAGGTTCCATTACGGTTCCAATACTGTTCCAATACGGTCCCAATACGGTTCTAATACGGTTCCAAGACTGTTCCACTACGGTTCCAATACGGTTCTAATAGGGTTCCAATACGGTTCCAAGACTGTTCCACTACGGTCCCAATACGGTCCCAATACGGTTCTAATAGGGTTCCAATACGGTTCCAATACGGTCCCAATACGGTTCTAATAGGGTTCCAATACGGTTCCAATACGGTTCCAATACGGTTCTAATAGGGTTCCAATACGGTTCCAATACGGTTCTAATAGGGTTCCAATACGGTTCCAAGACTGTTCCACTACGGTCCCAATACGGTCCCAATACGGTCCCAATACGGTTCTAATATGGTTCCAATACGGTTCCAAGACTGTTCCACTACGGTCCCAATACGGTCCCAATACGGTTCCAATACGGTTCCAATACGGTTCCAATACGGTTCTAATAGGGTTCCAATACGGTTCCAAGACTGTTCCACTACGGTCCCAATACGGTCCCAATACGGTTCCAATACGGTTCCAATACGGTTCCAATACGGTTCTAATAGGGTTCCAATACGGTTCCAATACGGTCCCCATACGGTTCCAAGACTGTTCCAATACGGTTCCAATACTGTTCCAAAGAAAATGAACTTAAAAACTATCTATAAGAATCAAAGTCAAAAGGGAGAACATGGACATGGAGATCACAAGGACTCCCATAAATACCACAATAAGAAATTCTCCAAGGCAAGTTGCTCTAAAAAGGTTCTCAAACTTATGTGAGTTGGTTGAGAAGTCCAATGCTTTTTATTGCATTCTACTTCTACTTCTATATTCTACTCTAATTTTAGCATCACGGATCCACTGCTGCAGCCACAACTGTTCCAGCCATTGTCGAAACTGTTGCCCCAGTGGCTTAAATCTATTTTTATATTTTTAAATATTCGTTTTCTACAATGGTTTCAATTAATAAATTTTCATATTTTCATTCAAATGGCCTTAACTTACAGTAATGATGAGAAGTTAAGAGTGTACTAGTTAAGTGTTTAAAGAGTTAAGAGTGTAGTTAAGAGCCAAGAAGCATTTACTAGAGAACTCTTTGGACAGTCTATACAAGAGCAATCTTTGCTCGTTCTTTAACCACGGAACTATTTTTGTTGTTCCCAGATTTACATCATAGTTGGTGTTCTAGGGGATCTGTGTTAGAGAGGGAATGGGGTGGAGGCGGTGGAGGGGTCTCTCTTCTCCACAGACTCCACCACAAAAAGCACACGAGCTACGTGATGGGTGAATGGAGTGAAAAGGGGAAATATTGGGGGGAATGGAGAGACGACAAAGAAGGGAAAAGAGCTGCTCTCTTTCAGGAGGAATTGTGCTTTCTGTTCTCTTTTCTCTTTCTCTTTCTCTTTCTCTTTCTAGAATGCAGTTGTCTGTCTACCCGTGAATTTCCTATATAAGTTGAGATTTTGGAAAGAGTTCCAAATGGAAAATCCAAATAAAATCTTCAGTATAATCCTATATTTCTGGTAATCTTCTATTTTCAGAAATCTTCAGTGAACTTTTATCCAACTTTCATCAACCAACTCAATTTCAATCTTTTGCTTAAATCTTTTGAATTCAAAATCTTCAACTTTCGTTATTCCCTAGATAAAATTCGCAAATTTGTGTTTCTTCAATTCATTTGAAGTCTCATTTCTTCAATTTTTCAATCTCGCATCGATTTTCCTTTCTTTTCCCAAAAAAAAACTCTTGTTTACGATTATTTTTCGATTTTTTTTCTTCATGCAAGTGTTCGAATGAAATTCTAGAGATTTCGCGAATACTTATGATCTCATTTCTCTCAAAAAAAACCTTGCAATTTAATAGAATTGCCTTAAAACAATTGCCATCAATTGCCTTAAAACTCTTCAATTCAATCCCTTTTATTTAAAGCCTTGCATCATTGCACTCAAAGAACGATGAAATCTCTCGTTTCTCTTCAATCTTTTTCTCTCTCTTTTCGGGTACATCCTGGGTTCCTTTTAAAAACTTTTCTCTGCAAAAGTCTGGAAATTCTTTGCTGAGAAGAAAATGAACTTAAAAGCTAACTATAAGAATCAAAGTCAAAAGGGAATACGGTTCGAATACGGTTCTTTTCAGATCCAATACGGTTCTAATACGGTTCTAATACGGTTCCAATATGGTTCCAAGACTGTTCCAATACGGTTCCAATACGGTCCCAATACGGTTCTAATACGGTTCCAATACGGTTCCAAGACTGTTCCAATACGGTTCCAATACGGTTCCAATACGGTTCCAATACGGTTCTAATACGGTTCTAATACGGTCCCAATACGGTTCCAATACGGTCCCAATACGGTTCTAATACGGTTCCAAGACTGTTCCACTACGGTTCCAATACGGTTCTAATAGGGTTCCAATACGGTTCCAAGACTGTTCCACTACGGTCCCAATACGGTTCCAATATGGTTCCAAGACTGTTCCAATACGGTTCCTTTTAAAAACTTCTCTGCAAAAGTCTGGAAATTCTTTGCTGAGAAGAAAATGAACTTAAAAGCTAACTATAAGAATCAAAGTTTTTGCTTTTCAAAGTCTCTTCCAACAAATTCTTCATCTTCAGTTTTTACCTAATTCTTCGAAAGCTTTAAAACCGTTTTATTTTTTATTTATTTCTTATTTATTTAGTTAACTTTCCTCTCAAAATGGTTTTCCGTCTAAATGCTAAAACAGCAAAAGAATTGGGAATGTTTGGTGGTTTATTGATTGCAATGCACTTTGCATATTATACAATTCAATCAAATCCCTCAATGGTTGCCCCACACGCTAGACAGGAATTGTTTTATGTGAGTTTTAAAATAAGAAAATGAATTGAATAAAGAATAAAGTGCATTCTTTGATCAACAAACGATTTGAGGTTCGATGGCTGAAGGAGAAGATCCCAGCTTTGCAGAAATACGGCGTTCAAGAGGAGCCAAAACGCGAAAAGGAGCACTGAATTTCAATTGATTTCTTCAATCCTTGAATTTTTTTTATCTTTAGCTTTAGCTTTCGATTATATACAATTTCTTCATTTTGCAAGTAGTTTTGTATTCAATCTTCTGCTCAAAGAATTCTTTGAGCTTCACCTTTTCATGTACAAATTTGAATACAACTCTCAACTTTTCAACTGGTTCTCTCTCATAAACTTTACGGGTTTTTACTTTCTTTCTTTTCTTTTATATTTACTATAATTTTTTAAAACAATAAAACAAATTTCAGATATTCAAAGAAATCAAAAGAATGCTTCGTCTTGTTTTCCACAAAATTTTGATTCAAGCCGCTCAGGAGCCTCAGGAGTCAGTTGAGGTGAGATTTGGAAACAAAATCAACTGACAATATCCTTTAAGCATATTTACACAATTAAAGTATATCTTTTGACTAAAATTCTTAATAAAAAGTCAAGCTTATGTCTTATTTTTAACTTTCAGACTCATTCCGAACCAAAAAAGGGTTCATACGAGTGGAAAAAGGCTCATCTTACCCCGGAACAACTCGCTCGAACACCCGACAATTCCGCCAAATACAGTGGGGTGAGTGGAAGCCTAAGCCTAAGCCTGAGCCTGAGCCTGAGGCTGAGGCTGAGCCTAACCTGAGCCTGGGCCTGAGAAAATGGGGGGTTCAGCTCAAACCCAAATAGACTTAGTGCTAGGCGCTAGCCGCTAGCCTACGCACTAAGTCCAAGCCTGAGCCTCAGCCTAAGTCTAAGCATAACATAAACCTATAAAGATATAATATTTTACTGGTAAAATGTTAATATATTAATATAAGATGTTACTTTCAGGTCCCTCAAATCCCTGTTGATATCGGATACCGCTCAAGCAAGGACACTGCCGGAAAAGTTAGCTTTTTACAGTAACTTCTGAGTTAAACCTTTACATCTAAACATTTTAAAGTGTTTTATAGAATAATTGAAGTACAACATTTAAGTGTAAACATTTTAAAGTATCTTATAGAATAATTTAAGCACTACTTCTATCTACGAAATAAAAGATTGCTTTCAATTATCAAAAATATTTCAGAAAGAATCGGGTGTCACCGCGCACGCGATCAGCAATCCAGCTGTTATCATTGGAATGGGTGAGTGCTACAAAAATATTTAATCTTTAAAAAAAACTACAATCAACTCTAATAAGAATGTTTCAGGTTTAACCACAATGGCATTGATTGGAATGTTCAAAAAATCGATCAAAGGTGATAGACTGGGAGCACAAAAATACATGCAGTGAGTTTTAAAACAAGTCAATATACTTATCGAACAATAAGGAATTGAATTGAAGAATTCTTCAACACAATGTATCTAATTCCAAAATTTAGATACCGTATCATGGCTCAATTCTTCACAGTGACCGCCCTCGTTGCTGGAGTCACGATCTTTGCCTCTACGCCGGAAAAGGAGAAGAATTGAGTGTACATGAACAGTGATACTCATTTTAGTTTATCTATAACTTTTAATTGATGCTCATTTGTTGATACGGGTTTTTTTATCTCATGTCTTTTATGTCTTTGTGGTGAGGAAATATAGCAATAAACAGATTTTCGTGAAAGAAAAATTACCGCAAGTCAATACATGTTTTAGAGAATTTCATTTGATCACCATTTTTCTATTTCCCGGAAATTCTGTCTAAACCAATCCTCCCTGGTGGTTGAGCGGAGACTTCAGGACGGGAAATGAAGCTCTGAATTGAATGACAATTGATGAATTCTGATTGAATTCTGACTGCATTCTGACTGCATTCTGAATCCCAGAGCCAAAAATCGAAAGCTTTACTTCATTTGTTTTACTCACCATGAAGTTTATCCCTTTTTGCAAAAGATTTGTCGACGGATCTCGATAGATTGAACGAGCTTGGTCCTAAAATGATTCAAAAACTTGTTAAAGCTTTGATTATTGGATTTTAGTAGGTTAGAAAGTGATCGAAATCATCCATTCGCGCTCACCTGTACATATTGTGGTACTCGGGGTATTTGTGGTCGTTGGTATGCGGGGAGTGAATGGTACAATCCTCTCAATTGATCACCCCGTTGTCTCCAGTTCAGATTCTAAGACCTTGAACATTGTTCTCTTTATGCAAGAGTAGAATTTGGCTTCAATTATCAAAGGCGTTAAATGACAGTATCTAACCATAAGGATAAATGGAAATTGTCAAGTGACAGTGTATGTTTCATTTTCATTTCAAATTTTCATTTCCAATTTGTCTATCAAACTTTCGCACAGTTCTTTCTCACCAATTGACCATTTCTTACCTCATTGAAAATAATGGCCTGTGTTTGTTGAAGGGCTTGAGGTGGGACAGGTCCGATGAATTGCTGGATCTAAAATCAAAGTCTAAAATCAAAGTCTAAAACAAAAGTCTTTTTCATACCAAGCTGTAGGGAATGCCGAAAAACTGTGCCGTTAGCAAAGTAAAATAGATATTTACTTGTAAAATTTTGATGAGAAACATTTTCTAGGATCAAAACTTTGAAATTATCTCCGTTCTTTTCAAAGATTTTTGTATTTTTTTCGTTTGACGTCATGCGTGGTCAAGGTCAACCGATCATTTTGTTTAAAAAAAGTAAACTTTATCGTTTTTGTTTAAAGTTTTAAAAGCTGGCATGTTGAATGTAATGGGGGGTGGGACAAATGCGACCTTTTTTTGCGCACCTGGACATTTGCGCACCTTTTGTTTGCTGGAAAAGGCCTTAGGAAAGGTCGTAGAGCTTCGAAAATGTTTCCATATAAGGGAATCGTATGCGTAGATTCCGAATTTCGACAAATCAGACCTCGCTGACACGTCAAATTTGGGTTAAAAGGCAAAAACTGCGGAAAAGCGTTAAGTTGCGTAGTTTTTGCCTTTTAGCCCAAATTTGACGTGTCAGCGAGGTCTGATTTGTCGAAATTCGGAATCTACGCATACGATTCCCTTCTACGAAAACATTTTGAAGCTCTACGACCTTTCCTAAGGCCTTTTTCAGCAAAGAAAAAGGTCGCATTTGTCCCACCCCCCAAATTCTAAAACCTTTTCCATTTATATCGCAGTAATCGCGTTGAATAAAACACAGCACGTTTGCTGAATATTTCAAAAGTAATCCAAATAAGTATTTAAGGGTAATTTTCGCAAAATTTCTATTTGTGAAAGTATCTCTGTGTGTTATTGACCCTACAAATAATTTTTCAACGTTACCCAGCGTTTTGATCAAGCGAATCTTACGGCGCACTACAATTACCGTAGCTTTCATTTCTGTTAGCTGCAGAAAATATTGAAAAGGGTACATAAACACCACTTTGAACAAGCAACAATATTGTATTTCCTTTATATGTTCTTATTTTATTTTATTTTACTTATTTATATTTCAACAAATATTTTATGTTTAGAAGTTCTCGATGGATGTGCCGAAAGACGCACAAAATGGAGAAACAACAACGGATTTGACAATTGATGAGCTCTTCGAATTTTGCCACTCAATCACCGAGAAAAAAATCGGCTTGGATGTGGCCGTTGATAAATTGAAGACTTTTTCGGTTTGTTTATTTTTAATTTAAGTACTTTTGATCTGCCAGCTTTTAAAAAGAATTAGCTTGTAGGAAATGGAAATGCTAGAAATGTAAAAAATGCGAACCGCTATTAAATGACTAATTTTTTAAAACTATATTTTAGAATGAAACTCTCTGCAAGTTATTGGATACAATTTCGATCTTCGACCAAGGAATCCCTGCCACTTCTAAAGAAGATCCGAAAGATGCGAATCCAATCAAGGAGTTTTATAGGATTCTCGAAGACGTGGTTAGCTTCCAATCTCATTACATGCGATTTCATTCTAACTTTAGTATATTCCTGAAGATGTACTCGCCTTGGAAATCAATGCTGGAAAACAGGATCCAAGTCTCACGCAAGCATCTATTCGTTGTCGAACAAAACTTTAGTAAGTTTGGAATTGATTTAAAGTACATTTATTCGAATTTTAGTTATAAACAAGTGAAATTCAACATGTTGAGAGAAGAAAGCGAAGGATTCTCAAAGCTTGTTACCGAGCTTGTCGACAATGATGCGGATCTTTCAGCAAATGAGATCTGTAATCGGATCTTTTCTTTAATAGGTACGTTCGCATAAAACATAAAAAGAGAATAATCGTGTTCCAGATTTGGAAATAGAAATCAGATTTTTCTGTTCTAGGTCAATTCAATTTGGACCCGAATCGAGTTTGTGATGTGATTCTGGAATGTTTCGAAGCATCTCTTGACCAAAGCGGCGAATTCATCGACATTCTGCACGAACTACATGTCAATCGAGAATACATCACTACGCTACTCGGATTCAAATTCACATTTTACCATGTGGGTTTAAAAATTAACTACTTTGCACAAAACAATGTTTAGGACCAGTCAGCTCCAACTCCATACTCGATTTATCTTGTTGCGGCTCACCTGATAGCGAATAAATTTGTGGAACTTTCCGACATTTGTCCATATGTGAGTTGAAATAATTGCATATCAAACCTTGTGCCTTTAGATGTTTCCATCATCGGATAAAATCAAAGAGTTACGACAGGAGCAGATTGCAAATGCAACGAAAAGAGCAAAACATGCGGAGGTTATTCATACAGCAAACATCTTTGTTGAAGCAAAGGCTCAACCACTATTGGATTCGGGGGTTTGTTTTTAATTTTTCATAATGATTTTAAAATAAACTACTAACAATTAATTTTCTACAACGTTCTATCGGGATTTAAAATACAAGCATTGATTTCTTGTTATCTGTTACTATATTTAGGAAGCAACTGGTGTCCAAGGAATTCCGTTTGCTACAGTGGTTGCTCAACAAGAAGCCGAGGACTTGAAAATATCGGAAAATTTTGAAGAGGTTCTTTTCAAATAATTTTATTCATTTGTTCCTCTTCAGAATCGAGTGCTGGAAACAAATCAAAAAGTAGGACTCATCTGTGCTTTGTGCGAGATTGGCGCGTGGGAATCTGCAAAAGAGCTCTTGGATTGCATGCCTGACGGATTTGCTGTGTCTGGAGTGTGAGTTTTTTGCCAACCCAACACTTTGCTTATTCATAATTGAAGCCAAGCTTATTTTTGTGTTAAGCTTAATTACATTTGTTGTTCTCTTGCAATAACGTTAGCTCGCTGAAATATTATTATTTCTTTTCAGGCCCCGGATTTCTCGAGCGATTGCCACAATGATTGAAGCCGCTCTTGACGAATTCTATCATCAGTTTGTTGTTTCTGTGTTTGAAGGAGTGTTTCGCTTTCAGGAAATGTGACTCAAGTCTTCGAAGGAAATCGGTAAAAAGGAACTACTCTCTGAAGTTACAACCGTCTATCCCAAAAGTAACAATTTGCATTTGGTGCACATACCTAATTACTCAATTAAGGTCTCTGATTGGACCGATCTCTGTGAACTCTCAAAGACAATTGGATATCTCGGACCACGGATAGGGTATCGACCATCTTGTTACGCGAAGCTTCTGCGGCTTATTCACGTGTTCATTATTGACAATAAGATCTATGCTGGACAAAAGAATGAAGGTTTGCGGTTGGATTTAAACACATCAAACTAAATTCTAAGATTACCCGGAAATCACACAAATGTTGGACAGTGTGATCATCCCAGGAATGACACTACTTGACGGAAATTGTGGAATAGCTGAGGAAGTGTGGACGTTGTTGCAAATGTATCCGTATCAAGAACGTTTTCATTTTTACGGGAGGCAAGTTTTATCACAAAAAATGAGTTCTCGTAACAAATCTAAAGGTTTTGATAGTTTTGATTTTAGATGGAAGAGCTCGCATACGACTCGCTATCCTGAATTGCTGATTCAGAAAGGAAAGCTTCTTGGACGCACGAAATATCTACTAAAGTAAGGAAAATACGGTTTTTGGCTTGGCTGTTAGATATGATAAAATGTTTAAATAAATGTTATTTAGACGTCTTTCCAAAGAATCATCTCGACAAATGGGCCGCCAACTATCGAAATTGTGCTTTGTCTATCCATTCGCCGTTTTTGATTACTTGTTATCGCAGGTATATTTTATTCGTTCTCTACTTTTGAATTGATACTTTAGGTTCAAACGTTTGACAACTTTATTGAGCCGATCGTTGAGAGTATTCGATATCTTTCGAATCTTTCGTTCGACATTTTGATTTGTGAGTTTTTGGTTACTAAACCAGCTCAAAGTCATTCTAGATAGCATTATTGGTCAACTTGCGAGCTCGCACAAGCAACAACTAAACGTAAGTTAAAGCTTATGACATATCAAAGGCTGTGTAGGAATCCGATGGCTCTCTGTCCGCTTGGCTCCAATCTCTTGCTTCACTAACTGGAAATGTCTTCAAAAGATATAGTGCCGAACTTCTTGGAATGCTTCACTATATTATCAATCAATTGAGAGTGGAAAAAAGGTATAGTTTCTAGCCTTGATTGAGATTATGAAGTAGAAATTTAGTTTCGACCTATTAATCCTACGCGAGATTGTCCATATGATGGGAGGGATCGAGGCGTATAGTGGACTCACGCAAGAACACCTTGAAGCTTTATCTGGAGGAATGACGCTGAGACAAGAAGTAAGAACTTGGGAATAAGTGAGATTCGTTAGGAATTTAATCATATTCACTTTAGAACCCACTAGAATTTTCGAAAAATGAGTGCAAAACAATTTTTTTCTAAATAATTCTTGATTCTAGGGTGCTTCATTTGCTGGTGCGAAGAATAAGCACGCATGCACGAGGTTGAGAGAAACGCTTCTACAGGTTTTTTATTATTAATCTATCTTATCAAAAGATTTTCAAGGGTGATCTTGCAATCAGCTTATATATTTTGATGGCTCAACATCATCAATGCCTCGTCTACAAGGCTTCGCTGAATTATCCACTAAAATTGACCGGAGAGCTCGTTGATCAGGTTCCATTTTGCCTAATTACAATGTACAAGTGTTTTTTTTTTCTTCTAGTGCCGAGACACTCTCCTTCAATACAGCGAGTTTGTGGTGACAAATTTGAAGAACAGCGATTATTGCAATTTGGTCCCACCAATCGACGAACTACTCGGAAAATATAAACTTTCTGTGGATATGGCCATGTCACTGTATCGGCCTGTATTTATGACTGAAGTAAGCTTTCAAATTCAAAAGATTGGTGCTACCATGCTCTTCGAGTAATGTTGTATTTTTCTTTCAGGTCTACAAGATTTTCCACGCATCAATGGAGGCACTAAAAATGACGGAAAAATTAGAAGAAGAAGTGGAAACAGAAGCTGAACCCGGAGAAGTGAAAGAAAAGGGAGACAAAGGCAAAGCAAAAAATGGATCTAGCAAGCTAAATGCGGCTCTTGAGGTTGTCAGGATTTTTCTAATAATTTTAACCAAAGATTAGCAATCGTTCTTCAAAGCTGCTCTGGAACAAGCGTTGGACCGCGTGGTAAATCGAATCGGTTCCTACTTTGACTCGTTCACGTATGCTAAGCAATTAAACGTTCGGTAAACATTTAATCTTTTTGTTAGAGGAATCTCTTTTTAGAACTTTTTGCATGTTCTGGCTTCTCTCACGATACGATTTGGAAGTTCCAACTAATGCGTACGAAAGGGAAATCGAAAAGATTCGACGGCAACGAAACGATCTGGGGAACAATTATGAGGTAAATAACATCGGGTTGACTTGTAAGTGGAAACAAAAAATGGCAAACCATTTTACTTTTATTCTAAATTTTAAATTTCAGGCCCGCGCTCGTAGGAAAGAAGAAGAACGCTTAAAAAGCGTTGAGTCAAAGTTGAATGAGGAGCTGAAGTCGCAAAAGGAACACGTCGAACGAATGCATATGGCATTAGTGGCTATGAAGGACGATATTTTTGTTGCTACAACATTAAGTTTGTCTTTATCAACTTATAGGTTTGATTGATTTCCTGCCTTATCGTGATAACAATTTATACTTTGAACATAATACCATATAAAAATTTATGCAAATACAAATGTCTATACAAATTTAGGATCGGGCCAAGCGTCATCTTTCCTACAGACGTGCCTTTTGACGAGAGCTGTCATTTCTCAAGCCGATGCGGTAAGGACTCTAACATTCTAACATGACTCTAACGGAAAAATTTCAGCTTTATGCGGCTGCTTTCTTCAAGAAGTTACATATTATCCGAGCGGCTAATAATGTTACCGTGCTAGTTGTTGATAAAGTTTTCATCTTTCATCTTTCATTTTAAAGTCGAACTTTAGCTCTTCTCCGACGTTCTCCCGCTTTTGCTTGGATTGACAGAAAATGAAGCCGCCTCGCTGGGACAATTTTTGCAATCGATGATGGAACTTTTACTTTATTGGAGGAACGAATCCGTTTATGAAAAGGTGAGCAACTTTAATATTTGTACTAGTTTTGCAGTTTTGCGCATAGTTTTGACAAAATTGTACAAATTTAGGAATGTTACAATTGCCCTGGTTTTGAGAAGAAAGGTGCCAAAGCAAACGAGGGGATGATTCTGATTGACGTGAAAGGATTTCAACGGCTTTGCTTTAAATATCAAGTTTGTATCTTTTTTTGCATTAAAAGGAAAGAAATCTATTTTAGTTCCAAATGGGCAGAACATTTGCCAATCTTTTGCAGAGAAAGGATGAGGATTACATTGTTGTACGAAATTCGCTTCTCTTTTTGACTAAGGTTGATTTTGTTTTTTTAGACGTTTTCTTTCTAATGTTTTATTTAGCTTTTGCCGGTGTTCCCTGTTGTCAAATTTATCGCTGACGATTTATGGACGGTTTGTTTAAAGAAAAGTTTGCATAAACTTGTTTTCAGATAGCGGAACGTCTTCGTGATCAAGAGAAAGGAAAACGAGATGATTTGTCATTGAAGGTGCTTTTTAAAAATTACACATATTTCAATGCCGAACAATAAGCTTATACCACCATTTTTTTAGACAGCCAGCTACATGTCACACTTGAAAAAACGTAAAGTGAAAGTGTTTGAATCACTTGAATTTGCCGTGAGTTTCAATACAATTATATTTTTTAAAGGTCAGTGTTTAGTCAACGCTACCGAAACCAGTTCAATCTACATTGCTACCAAAACCGGAACCGGACAATAAGGTTAAACAGTCTTCTTCTTTTTATAATCATTATTGTTAAGGTGGTGAAGAAACGGAAGCTAACGAAAACGAGTAAGTCAATTGAAAGCGATGATGGATCAACTGCTAAAGTTTCACGATTGACAACTACAGAAAATGTAAATTTTTGTCTGATTGTGCGATAGTTACCGTTTTTGTTTAGGGTAACGATCCGGTGGACCCAAAACCTTCTGAAACATCGAACGGCAGTGAAGTGAAAAAAGAAAAAGAGCGAAAAAAGGAGAAGAAGGAAACTAAAGAGAAAACATCTTCGAAAGAGGTAAGTTTGTTATGCTATCCTTTTATTATATTTAATGCTCACTTCAACGAATTCAAGTAATGGTTTAGAGTCAACGAAATGGATCCACTAAAATGCTCGATGATGGGGAGATCCCTCCAAGCCCGATGCCTTTAAAGGGTTTGGTTTAAAAACTATGGTTTTTACCTAACTTTCTAGTGCTATATGATTATAATTATTCCTTTATTTTAGAACGTGTCAGCCGCAAAGTCGATCCCAAAAGGGATTGATGATGGGGTAAATGAAAAACTTTCGGCAAATGATGATTCCGGTACCGAATTTCATAGTCATTTTCTTGTTTTATTTACCCTACATTTTGTAATACGTCTAAATATGCATTGTTTTAACTTTTTTGTTGTTGGTAGGTCTTATATTTTTGTTGTCAACCTCCGAATGGATCTCGTTATGTTTTGTATTTATTATGGGTATTTCGAAAATTGAAATGCAAAATTGTTTTATCATTGAGCAAGAACGAAAAGCTGAAATCGATTCAAAATTTGAAGGAACACGTAAACAAAAACAACTTTTAGAGATGATTTGAGAGATTGGAGGAAATGTGGCATGGAAAAGATGAAAAGAAATAGGGGCAATGGGGAATGAAGGGGAGAAATGAGGAGGGGAAAAGAAGAAAATGGGGAATGCTTTCACTGGAAAGACTGACCTGTCTCTGTTTTGTGGATTCGTCCACATGTAAACACGAAAGCGAATTGAGATTTCTCATCTATCATCGATTCTGTTAAGTAAACGGATAACTTTCAAGCTTTTCATTGACATTTTATTCTCTGGGCCATTATCCAACTACACTCAACTAGCGCTTTTCTTACGGAACTTTCAGGTGATTCCTCGAACTTTTGATCTGAAAATTGGCTGATTGAGCTGATCTTAGAATACAAAATTTTAGTAGCAATGGCTGATGAACCATCAACATCTTCATCAGATAGTAATGTCGGCCGTGTGGCCGCATCACTCACAATTTTGGTCACTTCAGCAGTGACAATCTATTCGGCTTGTCTCCGCTCGTCAACTATATATTTTTATGAGGTGAATGCATTCAATTAGACTTTCTTTTACCCGGTTCAATTACCCAATTCTTAACTTCTGAAAGCATTTACTTTGACGTTTCAGCTTGATTCAACAACAGTGATCTTCATGGCAATGCCTTTGGCTGTCGTTTTTCCGTTGCTTTTATCGTTGGCACTTTTCATTTCGTATTTGAGCAAGAAGCCGAAAGAAACTGGTGTACAAACGTGTGAATCATCGCCAAAATTGACACGGGTAAGCGGGGCCCACAATGAGCATTCGTCTAGAGCATCCGTCTCTAGTTCTGTTCAACTGGATCTTTCATTTTTCCTCTTAGTTCAACCACTGTCCTTCCAAAGGCTTGTGGATCGGTTCGGCCCCCAGTTTGGGGTGCGACCCGCTTTAACCTTATCAACGAGGATGCTTCTGTTTTAAGAATGGCCGAATAGCACAAAAGGTTAAAAGGGTTTCCCCCAAAAGCGCTTACAACGTAACAAGAACACGTAGTATCCAACAATAGATTAATACTCTTGAGAAGAGTGCAGATCGGATTGATACTACGTCGATGGTGACACAAATGTTAGTAAGCTCTCTCTACAATGTTAAACCAGTTATCTAAACAGGATTTAAAACCTGAACGGTAGCATAAAGTAAAGTGAATTTATAACGTTACTGTTTATTAGTACAGAACCGAAATGCAACAATACCCATTACAAAAACAGCATGCGCATCAAAAATGAAACAACAAAGGGGGTGGGACAAATGCGACCTTTTTTTTGCGCACCTGGACATTTGCGCACCTTTTTTTGCTGGAAAAGGCCTTAGGAAAGGTCGTAGAGCTTCGAAAATGAAACAACAAAGTCCCCCCAAGGAAGAAGGCAAAAACCCGCAGACCAAAAAAAATCATTTTGGGAAGGGAGAAAAAGGACGAAAAATGCGACGCGAATAATTGCAAATAGGAAGGAAACGGACGCGATCATTCGTCTAGAGTCAATCTTTTTCATTAATTTGAATTCAGCGATCAACTCGTCGAATCTCTCATATTTCATCGGATCTTCGAAGAATTACAGAAGAAAGAGACGACTATTCGCCGACGAGAACGACAAGTGAAAGTACGAAATATTAAAAATGAAAAAGTTTAAAAGTTTTGATTTCATTGTTTTCCATTAACTTGATTGACTATTTATTTGCTTTATTGAAAATCTTTTAGAGAACCAATTGGAAACCGAGAAACTCGTGGAGAAATTGGAGAAAGAAATTGGACCGATCGAGACGGGAAGCGGTGAGGTGCGGACAAATGACATCATGGTAACTGATTAGAGGCACAAATTCAACGTTCATACTAGGTTTAGTCAAAGAAAACGCGAAAAGATTCGACGACGATGACATATGAGAGGTTGGAGGATTTGAGTGAGGCAGAGGAGAAGAAAGACAAGATAGATTTTACATTGGGTGAGGCGAATATGAAAATTTGAATTTCATATCGAAATCAATTCAGATCCGGCCACTGAAGTTGACGATTTGGCAGAGAGGAAAACGGCTGTGCAAAGCGATTTCGATGACTCGTCAACGGCTCTGAACTCGCGACGATCAAGCTTTGCTAGCAAAATGCAGGTAGGGGTGATTTGGATAGTCTTTGGAATTTGTAATTCATTCTAGAAAGATCTAAATAAATCCCGGAAGATTAGCCTTCTTCAAAAAGAAACGTCGGCAATTGAAGTGAGGAAAGATTTATGTGAATTGCTGAAAGAAGTCGAACAGGTTCGGTCTTAAACAATTACGAGTCGATTCAAATTACAGACGAATATCTGGACCTACGCTCTTGGGGGTTTCGATTTGAAGATAATACCGCATCGAAAAATCACTCAATTCAAGCCGAAACATTCGTGAGTACTCGAGGAATCCTTTACCTTGAGGCTTTAGCGACCGTTGCTCCCGGGTGCTGTAGTCAGGTCACACGGGCGGAGCGCATCAGAGGTGCAGAGCCAAAGCCTAGCAACATATATGCATCTAACGTCTATTCAGTTTTAAATGGCGATACCCCAAAAGTAACAACAGTTGAAACTAGCGCAGATCAAAAAATTGTGCCCTGCCGGGCTCGAACCCTCAACCTCTCGCTTACCGAGCAACTATGTTAACCAGTACACCACAGCTTGTTTGATCTCCCTTGCTACAGAGGGAGTTAAGCCAATCACCAAAAACAATCAGCCCAAGAACTTTTTGTGTAAAATTTTGCTAACAATATTTCAATACAAACAAACCAGGTAGTGCGTTCTTTCTACGTCAGTCGTAGGAAAAAATGCATCTGGCACACTGCTCTAGATAAAGACGACCGGGAAACCTTCTAGCCGGTTTAATTACCCAAGGAAAGCGCGGCTTTTATGCGGGACTTGATTGAGGTTAAATTGGTGTTGAGGGTTTAGAAAAAGCTCGGATTAGATTAGAGAAAGTGATCAAGTTTTTCTTTTCAAATGTTCAACTAAAATCTAAAATCTAAAAGCTTTTCAGAATCCTCAGCCTAATCATCGAAATCTTGGCCACTCACGTGCCAATTTGGCTTTGCGTTGGTGCTTTCTACGTGATCACTCTCGAATTTCTTCGTTTAAATTTCGGTGATTTCATAAAATTAAAAAAACTAGCCAACGATGACCCCATCAAATTCAGCCTATTATTTCTATTTCCACGAGGACATCATGGAATTCTCGGCTTTATTCTTGGCGTTGAGTATCGGTGCAATTCACGAGTTCAAGAGTCATTGGATCACAAATGATATTCTAGCTTTGTGCAGTATTTATGTGGTTGTCAGTCGGTTACAGGTAACCACCACAGGGAAACACATATGAATCGATGAATTTCACACAACGATTTTAGCCGATCTCATTTCATTCAGCCACCGCTCTCATTGTCGGTTTTTTCGCCTTTGATCTTTTTTGGCTTTATATCATCGATTTATTGTCCACTGTCATTAAGGTAAATCATGGATATTCAAATTCTCTTGTTTTTAAATGCAATTTGATAAATCTTAGTTTCGGTTAATTTTTCATTAAATTCCAGGAATCCAAAGCTCCAGTGATGTTGATTGTGCCTCGGGATAACCTTGGAAATAAACAATCTCTAGCCACACTTGATGTCATGGTTCCAGGTATCAAATACGTTCAATGCAAAAACCAGAAGTGTCTAGGTGTCTTCCTGAATCTCGTTCTCAAATACAGCTCAATGTACGACAAGAGACTCTTCAATTTTGATTTTGTCGCTTTATTTGGAAGTCTATTGATCACCACTTTCTTGGCAATATGGAGAAAGTACGTATGGAAAAGATACCGTAATCCTTGCACCAAAAAGAGATACTGTATTCCCCGTAACAGATACCGTAAATGGGTTAACACTTGATAAGCTGACAAGGACTGCTGTAGCCTTACCTCACATGTATTACGGTAAATCATGGAAATTCCAGAAAAGTCACCCCAGCAATGGTTCTTCCGGCCATCGCCCTCATTGCGGCGAGTTTATTGCTCACCAATTCACCGATGAAATTATGGAAATTCATGATCAAGCATTAATCACAAAACAACAAGAAATTAAATAAAAGCTAACTCTAAATCTCTACATCAAATCTACGCCTAAAACAATATTTACAAAATCGCACACAAAATTGATCACTTTTTTCGAAAATCGGACGGTTTCGGGAAGATTTTATTCCACAAAGTTTTCCATCGCGACTCTCGGTCGAATCCCAGATATTTTCGCCCATTTTCGCTATTAATTTCCTGTAAAGCCGTTTAGTTTTAACAATTTAAAAGCCTTAACCTGTAACTGATGTAATTTTTGTCCAAAACATCCGGCAACGTAGTCGTGGGGATATTGCTTCAAAACCTCGTTGTTCAGAATTCTTTCCAGAGCTAAATAAATGAGGATAAGATATAAATCATAGTTTTATTTTAAACTCGTCAACTTGAGGATCATGGAAATTACTGTATATAGCAAATTTAATTAAACTCACCAATGTATCGCCTCTCACAAATTACTGGGTCATCTCCGAAAACTGTTGGATCCTTCTAAAAGACGACACATGTAATTCAAAGCCTCGAACCCGCTTACTCGAAATCTTTGTATTTGTAACTCCAAATGGTGAGCGAGATTTCTTTCGGCACTTTTATGTGGATCTTGCGGCCATTTCGCTACCAGCCTCAAAAATTGTTTATACTGACTGGCCTGTCTCGACGTCATCTAAAATTAATATGCTTTAAACTTCCAAAACAAACCTTGTGATTTCGATAGGTATTCAAAGTCACAAACTAGAGATAAATCGCCAATTTAACGTAAAAATTTATTCAAAGTAAAGACAACAAAATAACAAACCAACAACAAATGTAAACAACCAACAATAACACTCACAAGTCGCAAAACGCAAAACAAAAAAACTCAATCAACGAGATCATCCGAATCCATCGTGTTCTCGGTTCCTTCTTGCTCTGGATCGATTTGCATCAAATGCATTTGCCCATCAACTTCAAGTTCTTCCAGATGAAGTTCGGGAAGGTCGCTCTTTTGAATCTAAAATGCGTAAGAATTAGGAAAAAATAAAGGAACTTTTCGAACTATAATAGTAAATAAACTTATTGATTCCACTACATATTCACTATTAAATAAAATTCTTTCAAACCTCGATTTCCGATAACTCATTGGCCAAATTTTTGAAAACCATTTCATCAACGCATTGCACCCAAAGCAGCAGGTCTGAAACTCAATAAAATTTGAAAAGCTTAAAAAACCAATCACCTGTTAATAGAAGGTCGTTGTAAAGATACCGAAATTCTCCACCTTTCACCATTAGACTGTGAACTTTACTCAAAGCGTGGATCATCGCAGTTCGTCCTAAATTATTTTACCTAGATTATAATTTTTTAAAAATAAACACCGTTTTTGAAGAGCTCTTTCAGGTCGGTCAAAACAGCTTGGCAGAGATTCCAGTTTCTAAAATATATTGAGTAATTGAAAAAACGGTAGCCAAACCTGTACAAAGGTTTAGTCAGCGCACGAGAAAAGCCAACAATGATTGTTTGTTTAATTGAATTGAAACGAGCCAACCAACTCAAGCTAGCAGAAAGTTTCTCAATTGTCCAAGCTCAAATTATATAATATCAATGTTCCTTTTTAATGTGCAAAAATACCTGATTCAACTGAGTTCTCCCATTCAGTTGTTCGTCCATCGTAACAAAACGCGAATCCAATGTCAATGAGTGAATACATCAAAAACTTCAATTCTTCTGGTTTTTGCCTTAATTTATTAAATTTACCCAATTAGTTTAGCAAGTACCCTCAAAACTTACTTTGGAATTTTTCGATTGGGTAGATTCGTGAGACGCTTTATATCCGATTTTGTTAACCGATTTACACATTCGAATTCCAATTTTAAAATGTGCTCGAGTTGATCATCTGGTTTAAATGTATCCGCTCTAAAGACTCTATAACAAGGTATGAGGTTAAACTTACAAATAGTGATCAGCGTTGAAATTTTTGACATCCATTTTATAGCATTGTGAGGCACGTTCATCAATTGGTGAATTCTCTGGATCCTCCAGCTCGACAAGTTGTCCTAAATCAACAATTTCTAATTGGTATTTTAATCCGTCTAATAAATGATTGTAAAAGTACCAATAAATATTAAAACTCCGAAATAAAAAACCTATTTCCGCCATCAATGATCCCAAAACGCCACTCTTCTGCCAACCAAAACCATAGCCTGTTTTTGATCCACTCGTTATTTTCTCATCAATCGACTTTGGTTGTTGTTCCATATAGTAATCATCTAATAAGATAATACAACCGAAATCATCAACAAATGCTACCCTCACTGTCCTCACTCTCGATTTCCTCGTCGCCACGTTCATTAATACCACCAGAAACCTAATCGCCATAAAATAATCGTGAATAATAGCCCAAATACCTCCTGGACCAATGGTTCAGCAGTTGGTTTCTCTCGTTGTGGCCTCAGCAGTTCGGTAACCATGTCCAAACCAGGGAAATGCTCGCCTTTGATCTTTTTGGGAACGCATATCGTAAAAATTCCTAAAAAATAAAGTTTAATCCGGATTAAAAAAACACTCACCAGCATCTGCGTCATATTTAGCCCATCCTGTTTCGTCGTCTAATACCTGTTTAGGCAAATGTATTCTAAAACCAATAAGTCAATAAGAGAAAAAAACTGAACCTCAAATAATAGGGTTTGCTGCTGAATACAAAAAGATCGTCACAGTATTCGACTTCGGTGTCCGAGATCTTTGCATAACGTGCATGGATCTTGATGATGAGGTTGTTCTCTTCTTGTTCTATCTCGAAGATGGGCGTAAGCATACCTAGATAAAAAACTGAAAATCCCTTGTTACTTTCCATACATATTAAAAAAAAACAAGCCCCGCAACTACTACGCCTACTACGGAAATTCACAAGAAATGTACTTGGTGCTCCGATTTTCAATTTAAAGCATAAAAAGGATAATCGGTGTAGGACCAATCAAGAAAAAAACTTTTTGAGATCAATATTTATTGCTTCATGTAAAGTTTGACAATCAACATTACAATTTTACTGTTTTTGTTTCTCTACCAGTTCGTTTATGATTTTGATCCAGTCTTTTCTCCGTTGTACCGCAAAAGAAGGGTCAACTGTCAGCAAATCGTTCACCCCACTTAGACCTTTCTAAATTCAAATGTTTTTAAATGCTAATTGAAAATATAACCTCTAACAGTGCCTGGATGACTTCAAGTGCAAAAACTCCACAATCACTTCCATTTTGCTGCTGTGGTGTTTCTTCGCTGCGAAACTGAAGTGGCTCCACTGAACGAACGAGTGATTTTGAATGTTTAGCTACCTACACAAAACGTAGATTTTTAGATTCGTAAACGAGCAAAAACCTCTTTAGCCGCGCGATCGTTTCGATTTTTGAGGCTATCGTAGTGGTGAAAATATTGTGTTTCCCGTGAATATGCTAGAACAGACCTAAAAAGATAGAAATTAATTTTTAGATGGGAACCTAACTTACCAATGACTTCCACTATTTGCGATTTTCGGGTGACTATTATCGTTAATGATAAACACAACCTAAAAAAGCCTTGTAAACGCTTTCTTATAAGAACAAACCATAGCTTTTTCGTGTAAATTTAGTGAGCCAAATATCCCCTCGACGGAATCGGGTAAAAATTTGATTGCCTCACATTCTGGCGCACAAATTAAAGTAACCTAAGCAAATGATTGATTACTATCAGATAAACAAGCAAACAAACCATTTCTTTTCTATCCGGGTCAAGATTTTCATGAATATATTGAGAGCCGAATGTAAGTAATCGATCATTGAGCCAAATCCCTGGTCTAAATTTTCCGATAAGTTATACTAACCACGTATGCGCTGATATAATTTCATTAACGAACAGTCTGCCAAAAAGAAGTGAGCTGACAAGCATACCTCACCGCAAGTATTCCAGGTCCTCCTTTAACAAAATCACATCTCCAAATGAGAGTAATCGATCAGTCATCGTGACTAAAATAGTTACAATATAACAGGAAAGTCTGTCTTGCAACCGCGCAAAGATAAAACTGCCCAAAAAACAGATAAACAATTCTATTAAAGAAAAGGAACAATTTATCGCAAAAAAAAAAGATTTCAAAGATAAAACATCACATTTGCATCACAGTCACAAAAAAACAAAAATTTTTCAAATCAACAACAATAGTTAGCTAAATACTGATCAATGGTTACCAATCATCGTCGGGTAAAGCTTCTAAGACCATTTGTTCTCCGCCGACCTCTCTTGACCTTGTCATAGCGACAGCTGAAGTTGGGTTCTAAAAGAAACTGTTGGATGATGTATGACACAAAAAACAAGTACATCGAGCATTTTGTCAATTGTCTCCACTATATGTTTCCGGTCCAAATCCGAGAAAATTTCATATTGCTCCTTGATGATTTCATAGCGAACATCTTGCGGACTTGCGAAGAACTCTAAATTGCTGACAATGAGCTTCCAATAAACTTAAACTAACTATCGCTTTTAAACGTTTCGAAGTCGAACTTGAAATTGGTGACTCGGTGTCCATCTGTGCTTGTCGTGTTATGGACATTCGGTGGAAGTGCGTGAAAGTTTGGGATAAGACGCTAAAAAAGAACTTTAAAAATAGATAAATGATCATCACCTGTGATCGTGCAATTAATCCAATACGATCACTCGATCCATCAATTTCTGATCTAAAAAAATAAACAAACAGCATAGCAGTCAAAAAAATCAAATAAACGCTACCACTTTTGGCGATCCAATAATTATCAAGCAACTTCAAAACCTACTCATATTTGTCCTTGCTCACAATAATCCCATCGACTTCTTCACAATATTGCAACAAAGCGTGATCGTCGTAAGTGGTGCTTGGAAGTTCGTCAAATACGTCGAGCCCTGCCAATTCCTAGAGTGAACCTTCTATTAGAATTTTTCCATAAAAGAACTTACCGCAAAACAAGCAACATTTTTGACAACATTGGCTAATGTATATTTCTCTCCGACAAACGCTCGAACGTTGAAATCGTTAACCAAAAAATATCGATAAATGACTAGCAGCGAAAGGGCGTCAAGTTTATCACTAAAAGTGTTTGTTGTTAATTTTTCGGATACGCTTACCCTTTCGTTGCATCCTTAGCCGCCCACAATAGATTTGCTGCATCCAAGACAATTGTCCGTCGTATTAATCCTTTTTTCTTCCAATCCTAAGGCGAGTTTATATATAGAACGGATAGAAACGTTTAACGCTGGGTGGCATCAGAAATCCAAGCTGGTCGAATGTAAACATCTCATCCCTTCGTGCATTGGCGAATCGCGGATACATCCAAAAATTTAATAGAAAATGACTGCTAAATTTGAAAAAAAAAAAAGCATAAATCGCCTTTCGTGTAAATTTTCGCAAGCTAAAACTTCTCGATGCATCAAGAGCAAAAAGTAAATTAGACATAAACCTTCCAGCCAATGAAAAAATTATGCAAAAATTTATTTGTACACGCAAAAAAAGAATAAACATGACACAAAAAAAACTATTGTTGATCGTAAATCCATTGTCGACCATGAGAATCAATATCCTTGTAATTCTTGTCAATGATCCATGGCTGATCTCCGTCTTTATACCGACAAATCGGATAGTCATAAGGCAAACCACATCGAGATGGATCCTGGAATGAGATGAAAACAAAAAACAACAGCACAAATCCAACCTGTACCAAAACGCCCGCTTCCCAACTTCTCACAGCCAATTGTTCACCGTTTTTCTGGATTTCTCCCCAAGCAGCTTTTGAAAGATTTGCAGATGTTATCAGTAACCATTTCAATTCTCGATCTGCTCCTATTTCACAGTAAGACTAAAACTTTTTGTTTCTGTTTCAAGAAGTAAGTTATTACCTTGACATGAGGCATGGCTTTATTGCGTCCACGCTTGTCAGAGCGCCATTTACATAAATGAGCTCTAAAATCTTCTAAAATTAAAGTTTAAGTTTTCTAAAAACCTTAACCAGGTTTGTTTTTCGTGGGTTTTCGATTGATACGGCAAACTTCCGCCAGCACTATATCCTTCATATGAATGCTGAACATCTTGTATGGTTGGGTAAACGAGATAGACTCGTGTTGAACCTAAAAGGTGGTAATAAAAATATGTACCATTTCAATACCTTTTGTTCGACCGCCACGAAGAGAATTCAAAAATTGGGACAAAAACCATTGATCGGGTTTCTGTCCAAGAGATCCTTAAAAGAGCTTTTATAATAAACTAATAGAAAAGTACCAATAGAACTGCATTGAGCTATGTACAAAGCGTTGGGGTCCAAAGTCCTTTCTTTGAGCGCATTCCGCAAACCCAATTGTGCCATCTAAAATAATTACACATATTTAATAAAAAAATACTAATAACCTTGTCCTTCGTCGGTTTTTTATGATATCCAGGGCAAGAATAAATGAAGTGATCATTGTTATCGCCAAAATCCGCCTGCTCTATATATTTAATCCAAGGTGCAACAATTGGAAGGTTATACCTAAGAATGACTGCTGCATAAAAGCACCAAAAAACAAACATTTTCAAATATTCGCTGAGATCCTTTTGGAAGTTACAACTTTGATTTCCCTCGCCATTTTCTAGTTTCGCCTTGCAATAATAAAACATCTGAGTCTTTTCTTGCCAGTCACCTAAATAAATATAGAGATAACAAAAAGCAAAAAAGGAGCTAGCCTTTGACCAAATTTGCTGTAGATACAATGATATGCAGTTCGTCTTTCACTTTAAGCAGAGACAACTTTGTATGATGAGTTCCGTACGGTATGGGGAGATGAGCGCCGGAAACCTAAACCAGAGCAAAGGTTTTCAGAAAAAAAAATTCTTGTAAACTTGTATGTTATCGAGCTTCAATAGTTTGATATCTCTTCGAAGTGAAGCTGCATCACTTCCCATTTTTTCACCAACAACCAAGTTGATTGGCGTCTGACGACACGATTCTGGATATTGCCTAAAGTTTCTAACATAACAAATAGTCACCTAATTTGAAAGCTCAAGAATTCGAATCGAACGTACTCGATAAGCCAATCGACTTCGATCATAAAATTGAAATGCAGTGATTCCTCTGGCATAACGAAATTCAAAACATCTTTAAGAGAGAAGCAGTTCTCGTTAAAGCATTCAAGTACAGACGAAACCTAAAATTAACAGATTTAAGTCCTAAACTTAAAAATTTACCTTCACAAAGTAAAAATAACCAGTTTTAAGAGCGAATGAAATGCTGCTAATTGACGAGTCCTAAAGGCTACAAAATAAGACATATATAAAACCATCGCATGCTTCATCAGATCGGTTCTTCTTCGTTGTTATCGAATTGTCTTCATCGTCATCGACGAGCTTTCGTTTTGATATTTTGGAACTCGACGGTGACGTATTTCCAGACATAACTACAAAAGTGGAAATTTGGAAACAGTGCACGCATTTCGAAAATCAGGTTCAGCGACCATACAAAAGAATTAGGAATTCAAATAAAACGTTTATGCACGGAAACACAACTCAACAACAAACCTAACAATATAACAATTTATCCAACCATATCTCTTTTACGTCCTCGTAGTCGAATTGCAATTAGTCTTGCCATAACAGCTTCTCCTTGTTTAGCATTTACGGATTTATAACTAAATTTGAAAATTGCTAAATGTCAACACAAAATCTTATTTGTGTTGAAAATCAAGATCTGGGTTTAAACTGTAACTTCTAACACAGGGATCACATTTTTCCAGTTCTAATAGCTTACTATCAAGGATGGAATTTGATACGTGAATTTACCCATTAAGTATGGCATCGACGATGTGTTCACAATTGATATGCGTTGCTTGAATAGCCCGTTCTAGCACATATAGATCGACGCCTTTGTCTTCAGCGATTACCTAAAGAGTCTTTCAAAAGATATTTTATTATTACAACTTTGCCCGAATTTGCGAGTCCGAAATCGATGAGATGTAGGTTGCCTGGATCACCGTTTTTAACAATCATATTTGACGTTGTTAAATCACCGTGGATCTAAAATATCCAACTATAGCTTTTACATCAGTATTTACCAGGCCAGAAAGGTGAATCTTTGCAATTTCGCCACCAAGAACTTCTCCAAACTTTGCTGTTGTCGACTAAAAAAGGCTTATGCGTGAAGCGAACACATACCTTGAACCTTGAACTCTTCTTCGGCACGTTGTCGCTGGCTCTCAATCCAATCTTTTGCCGTTGGCCCTTCAACTCGTTCCATAATCAGTATGTGTCTATTTGTGTCGACAAAGTAAATTGCAGGCGCTTTCACGCCTACCTAAATTTGTTTAGTCAAAAGGAAAAAAAATGAATCTTAACCTGCTGGGCTTTATTGATTCCTCTGATTTCTGCGCGTAAACGAGCGAAATTTAGCCGTTTATCAAGCTCTTCATGCCGGTATTTTTTTGAAAATCTAATCAGAGATACTAATATCTATCTAATAAAAATCAATATGGGTGTGTAAAGCCACAAACCTTTCTTTTAGAATAGCTGGTTTCCCCAAATAAACACAATCGTACAATTTGGCCTCAGCTCCTTGTCGCAATGAGTCCGGGTCCAGCAAAGAATTGTACGCAGTATTCATTCTGAAAAATCTCAAAATTTGTCAAAAAAACAACATAAACAAAAAAAGAGAAAACAACGCAAACGCAATCACAAAACATGACAAATTATTAATTCTCCTCATCGCTTTCCGATTCTGATTCCGATGGTGGTAAATCCATTGGCTTGTTTCTTTCCGCTTCATGCTCCCGATCCAGTTTTTCAAGATAACTAAAATAGAATGCTATAGATAGCAACTAAATGTAATCAAATCACCTTTTTTGTTGTTTTATCACTTCTTGGGGAGAACTGCAAGCAGCGTAAATCTCGAGTAAATCTCTTAACCAGAATGCATTAAGGAATTAGTAAAATGTTTAGTTTACTTGTTCATCTCTAAGAAATGTGGCCCATAATTGAACTTTTCCATCAAAATTTTGGCATCATTTTGGAAACCGCAAATCCACAAACCAGCAGCAAGGGCTTCAGCACAGTTTAGCTTGCATGGACGACCTAAATTGAAAATGCTTTCAGGAAAAGTATGTTTAGCGTACCATAGTTCACTTGATTTGCAGCAACTAAATATGGCAACAAGCGATGTTCAGGAGCTTTTACCTAAAATTGAATGCGTTGAGTATCAGTTTAGTACCTCACTTTGTTCATGGGGGTTTTTTCAACCTCATTCCAACTACAGTCAACAACACCCAGTCCGTTTTGTTCGATGAAAGTGCGATCTGCTGGTGACAATGTCGACACGCCAATAGGTGACAGCATCAAACCCGGAAAGCGAGTGCCAAGACGAATCTAAAACAAAGCCTGTCGTATAAACCAAAGCTCACAAAATCACCTCATCAATTAAGCCAAATCTGACCAATCTCCTGCCAGAACATCTTTTGGGATCGCATTGATTAAAATCGTACATCCCGAGTTTCACCGTTGTTTGCGTAACCTAAAATAACAAAATATAGAATGCTCTTTCAATATCAAAAATATAAATCAACCTGCGAATCGGCATCAGAACCCCCGCTTAAATCGTCGTCACTTCTTAGCGCTTCCTAAAATAAAAACATTTACAAAACCAAAACATGATTGGCCTCTTTGAAATTAAAGTGTCGAGCGTTAAAATCAAACATTTTTCTTGCTGATTATAAGTATCAAAAAAATAATTGATTACTAAAAGCGAGTCTTACCTCATCGTTAAATTCTTGTGACGGTCCTTCATCGTCGGATGCTCTCTAAATTAGAAGTAGAGCATAGGTTAACAAGATATTACTCTTTGTCGTTCTGCCCGTTTTCCTTGAGTAGCTCCTCCTCCTCTCTTCGCGAAGCCCGCCTTTTTGCCACGTCCCATTTATCACCTGAAATCAAAAAATTACCAATTTCATACAAATTCTTGAAAAAAAATGACAAAGTGAAAAGGGCCAAATGTTTATAAGTAGACATGTCTCACATCTTCAGGTTCGAACCAAACTTTATAAAGAACTACAGAAGACACTGTTAGAAAAGTTTCGCTACTGCTACTCACAACAAAACCCACAAAACAGAAAAGCGCCACAGCTCGCCGCAATTTGCGGCACTTTCTTACAAGATATTTAGCTATTTAATTCAATGAATACTGTTTAATTGATTTACATAGTTAACAAATCTTGATTTGTAGTGAACTTGTCGCAGAATCTCTTCATTTCATTTCTTTATTTCTTTTTGTTTCGTTATACCAGCAGAACAGCCCGCCTAACGGCGGCCCGCTTCAGAAATTGTAAAAATGATTGCCAGAAACGAATTCCCTGTGTTGGAAAATCCCGCCATGCAAATTTCAGCGTAAAATGAAAATTGCACCCATGGCGCAGTGGATAGCACGCTCGTCTCACGCCTCACATGACTCGGGTTCGACCCCGGCCAGTGACCACCTACTTTGATTTTTTGCAAAAATTTTTTAAAAGGCACAGACCCGTGTTTCAGAATTTTTTTAAATACTTAAAGGGGACGCGCGCACAGAAAGACAGATATTATTTTTTATATAGAGTAGAGATTCATATTATTCGTTTGCTGGATTAGTTGGACGTTCTCAACTTGTGAGTTTAGCTTTAATTGCATTTTTTTTACCTACTACTTTTGCCACAAAAATTGTTTAAACTTTGATGCAATCCTTTGCGAAATTAAAAATCGTATCGGTTAGGTGCACGTTGTATAAATGGCCATAGGAGTCAATCGTGGTGGCGCTCAAAAAAGTAGATGGTTGAAGATAGGCAACACTTCTCATCTCAAAAATTTGTGATAAGGTTTACTGAGAGAAACTCTATCTCGTCACATTATGTGACTCTCATCTCACTTTTGTGAGACGGACAAGAGCCCACTCAAGAAAGCCAGGCCCTTAGGACCTATTTAACATTTAACACTAGAAAATAGTTTATTTCGACGGTGTGGTATTAATTTACAACGTTGGTTCAATACTTTAAAAATGAGATCAAAGTAGAATGTGAACATAGAGGCACGCAAAACACATTCAAAAACTCTTAATATGCAGCGCAAAGGCTTCATAAGCCCAATTAGCAAAGATAAAAATCCCAAAGTTTGACTTGTTTATCGTAGGATCCACTAACGATTCGTTTGTCGTCAAAATCCACACAAGTGACTCCATCAGTATGTGATTGTAATGTGCACATTCGTTCGCTTGTTTCAAGGTTCCATACCTATTTATGATATAAACTTTAACAAAATTCTTTTGAAATAAACTTTGACAGTTCGATCATCTGAGGCGCTCACAATACGCCACGCGTCAACCTAGAATGAATTGCATTACGATCGACTAGAATGCAACCTGCAAACATCGAACGACTCCTGTATGGCCTTCATGAAACCGCCAGTCTATTGTGTTCGAGCAACGACCTGCAGTAAAAAATAAAATTGGGAGATTTTAGACCACCTGAGTCTACCTGTCCGAATATCCCACATCTTGATCATTCGATCCACACTTCCGGAAATGATACGATGAGCATCAAAGCGTACACAGGTTACCTTAAAAGCTATTGCATGGAAAATAAGGAATCATACAGCATCTTCGTGTGAGTTTAGAATTGTCATTGCGCACTGAGCTGTTCGGGCATCCCATACCTGCAAGAGTTTCGATTTTGATTTTCATGATTGACAATGATGGCAACTACTCACTTTGATTGAGTTGTCTGCCGACCCGGAAACTGCGCGAAAAGAGTTCAAAGGATCGTATTGCAGACACAATACAGAATCACTATGCCCACTAAAAGGATTTATTCAGACTTTGCAATATCGCCTACTTAAAACTCCGAATCGTGTCCCCAGTCTCCAATGACCAAAGCCGAAGAGTACAATCATAAGAACCCGAAACCAATGAATCAGAGCACATCTATGCACGTATGTTTGTCCCTTAAAGAAATGACAACGTACTTGCAGGCAACGGACATAATTTGTATGTCCAAGCATCGTCCGTCGACATGCTATGCTTGACCACTGGGGATTTTTATCGAGGTTCCATATCTGCATTTATTGATTAAAAAAACTACCGTGAATACTCTGATAGAAGCCCCCCTCCCGATAGGAGCGTCGCGTAGTCTAAGTTTACTCCCAAACAAACGCTTATATCCCGACACCAATACTTTTGTTTCTGTGCACTTAGGGATAAAATTAAAGTAGAGGATGGGTGATTTTTTGAGATATAACACATATTTTTAGCATTAACCAGCGCTTAGAAAAAATGATTGAAAAGTGGCAAAAAACCTGAGTTTTCATCATTTTTCAATCATTTTGTTCTAAGCGCTGGTTAATGCTAAAAATATGTGTTATATTTCAAAAAATCACTCATCCTCTCTACTTTAATTTTATCGCTAAGCGCACAGAAACAAAAGGATTGGTGTCGGGATATGAACGGTTCTTTAAGTGTAAACTTAGACTACACGACGCTCATATAGGGAGCTTCTATTAGAGTATTTACGGTATACATAACGTTACCTTGATCGAAAAGTCGTTTGAGCCAGATGCGAGTCTATTGCCTTGGAGGTGGAGACACCTTACCTAGAGCTCAAAAATGGTGAAATCTTGAGTGAATTTTTACAGTCGCGGAGTGGCCCGTAAAAGTCATTTGTCCAAGCGGATGACTATCATTATGATCCCAAACACGAATTGTTGAATCACTGCTTCCAGAAACCTGAAGCCAAAGGGGTCAGTAAAACACTGGCAACAAACTATTCGTTGATCATCAAATTGTACACAAGATATCATTTGTGAATGACCAGAAAATGTTCGAACAACACATCTAAAGGAAATCCTTTAGTACTCTTTCATTTCACAACCTTCCAGCATTCCAGTTTCTCCATAATTTGAAGCGTTCAGAAAAAGCATCTTTCCAGCAAACCCCTTCTCCAATTGTATGTCTTTCAAGTTGTTTTTCTTCAGCTTCCTATAAATTTGCATTGATGCACGAAACATTTAGATATGTTTCTCACCTGATTAGTCAAACGATAGAGTTTTGGATGAGTGCATAGAGCTTTCCACAGACTAGTATTTGAAGCCATTCCATTCCATGTTCGGGACACACGTAAACATTTATATAAAGAAGCTAAAAAGCAACTTTTTATGTTTTTTTAATGAAACTACCTGGATCTAGATAAGAGAGAATTGTTTGTACCAGAGAACACGGCAGTAAAGAGAACGGATCATCGCGATTTTCAGCTTGTCTCAATCGATGGGTTTTTAGTTCAGTGATCCAGTTTGAGACTTCATCAAGTGCTTTGTCGTCCGACAAAATCTGAGAAACGTTTTCGTTCTTCGTTTTTTCTAAATGAAAATTACCAGAAGCTGCTGCAATAGCTCGCGCCGCTTTTCTGGGCAAAGTGCACAAAGCATAGCCTAAATAGTTCTTTTTCTTTCTAAACTGTTTGTCTTACAATATCTTTGTCCTTTCGCATTATTTCATCAATATACTCGAATTAGGCACATGGTACTCTGAAGCAAAAACAACATTAACTCTAGCAATAGATAAGCGTTTGCACCTACACAGAGGTTTTGTGTATCAAAACTTCAGAATAAGTCAGATTTTGGTTTGCAGTTTAGAAATGTAAGGCAAAAAGTAGCATGCAAAAACTTTGCGAGTTTTGCGAGAAAGGGGCAAGGCTCAAAGGAAAAATCGTATCACTTAATTGCACACTGTAAAAATGTGCACAGTTATAAAGCGTTGCGCCCATTAGAGTTGGGATTTCATTTTTTTAAAGACTTTCAAAGACTTTTATCTTTCTCTGATTATTTCAACGCATCATTTTATTCTTTCAGGAGAAATTCAAATTGATGCTACGCTATGCAAGTCTCCACTGCCAACGACGTGAAGATTTATAATCTCAGCTACGGGAAATCGATACCAGAAGTGAGTGCAATTTCAACTTTATCATTTTTTTTTCTTTGAATTTTAGTGGCTTACTTCAAAGCAACGAAGGGAACTGACGAAAAAGAATTTGGGTAATTCGTGTGATTGTTTCACTGTTTTTTGCTTTGCTTTTAGATGTGCGGCGGCGGATACAATTGATTCAAAACTTCGAGATGCCTGACGTTGCAAATTGTATGTCGATAAGCAAGGATGGACGGTTTGAAAACTTTAAGCGACATTGATCTATTCATTTTAGTCACGTTTTTGCTGCGGGTTGTTATAAGCCCTTTCTCAAATGCTTTGATGTCGAGCAGATGTCTGAAAAGTTTACTCGAGGAATTGATGAGGAAGTGATAAAAATCCTGAATCTAACAGATGATTTTCAAAAGGTGGGTGGATGGCAGACGAGTTACATTTTATGTGAAACTTTTGTTATTTTCCCAAATCAATGTTTTCCTTTAGTTTGTTCTACTCGAACAGCAGCGATGGGTTGAGCTTCATTATTCGCGAGGGAGATATTTTCGACTGCGAATACCAAAGTTTGGACGAGACATGGACTTGATCACAGAACGAAGTGAACTCGTTATATCAACCAGCGGGTAAAAAAACTTTTTATAAACTAAAACTATGAACTCGCAGAGATGAGATATACCGATTGAATCTGGAGCAAGGCGAATTTTTGGAGCCATATCGTTTGTCAGGCTCATCCGGCACTGTGATTCAAGTTGCTCCATGGCACCAATTGATTGCAGCTGGAACTATTGATGGCTAGTTTAACTTTTTTTTGTGGCAATGTTTTTTTAGGTACTGTTGAGTGTTGGGATCATCGTGATAAATCGCGAGTTGGACTTCTTGATGTCGCGTCTAGTATTTCGGATTATACCAAGTAACGTTTAGGTTGTTTTTGGGATAAATCTTGTTTTAGTGTAATTGCCGCTGTAACGGCGCTAAAATTCTGCGATCCTCTACATTTTGGCGTAGGCACTTCAAGTGGACATGTAAGTTTTGCCGCGCATTAACATTGAAATTTTTATTTAGGTAGTTCTCTATGATATTCGTGCATCAAAACCGCTGCTCGTGAAAGATATGCAAAATGATCTACCGATAAGGTTAATTCTTTTATGCAACTTTAGTTAAATGTTTTATTTAGGCGAATTGAATTTGTGCGCAAGGAAGACGATAATATTGTACTGTCAATGGATAACCGTGCTATCAAAATTTGGAACGAGCGAAATGGGCGACCGATTACTGCAATTGAGCCGGAACCCTCTTTGAATGATTTTGTGCTTTATCCGAACTCGGGTCTGCTTTAGCTCTAAAGGATTTTTATAGCTGATTTTAGGAATGCTATTTATTGCCGCAGAGGCTCCTCGGATGCTTCAATACTTTTGCCCTATTCTTGGCCCAGCTCCAAAATGGTTGGTTTAGCATGCATTTGGAAAATTTTGAAAATCTAGGTGCTCATTTTTGGAAGCGATCACCGAAGAATTAGAAGAAAGTGACAAGCCAGCCGGTAGTTTTAAAAATATAACCTTAACGGGCGGGCTTTTAGTTTATGATGACTACAAATTCGTTACCGAAGCTCAACTGGATGATCTTGGTTTGAAACATTTGATTGGTACTCAATTGTTGAGGTAAGTACTGGTTTTCTTATTTTTAAGGTGAAGCTTTAGAGCCTACATGCACGGATTTTTCATTGACATTCGGTTATACAACAAGGCCAAGCTGAAGACACAACCATTTGCCTATGAGAACTACAAGAAGAGAAAGGTATGAGTATTATTTTTATTTGAAAGTTTAAGAATTTAGATCCGGGAAGCGATGGAAGATGAACGGGAAGAGGCAGCGATTGGTGTTAAATTGAAGAAAGAATCGGAAGTTAAAGTGAATCGAGAGCTTGCTAAAAAGTAAATTTGTAATTTTTTTCGAATGATCAAAGCTGTTTAGACTTGAACTTGACGCCTCAATCGCAAATAAAAAGAAGAAGTTCGCAAAAGAAAAGGTGGCTTGATTTATCATTCTCATTTCATTGTTTCAGGCAAATGCGGCAGCTTCTTTGCTACAAGATCCTCGGTTCGCTAAACTTTTCGAAGATGAGGAGTTCGAGGTGAGATTTTGCTGAGTTTTAGTTGGTAATTGTTTTTCTTTAGGTGGATGAAACCAGTGAAATTTTCACAAGCCTGCAATCCAGACTGGAGAAGTCGCAGAAAAAGAAGAAAAGACCCGATGAAGATGATGATGATGATGAGAATGATGGCGATGATGATAGAAATTCGGAGAGCGATGAAGGGGTTGTTTACTGTTGTCTCAGCCCTCAACCTTAAAAATTTAGCATCCACAAACGGAATTTTTCGATCAACTTGAGGAGGAAGAAAAAGTTCGAAATAATGGCGATGTTTCAAGTGACGAACATAATATGGAAACGGATAGTGACGAAGGCGATCTCGAAAATAGCAATGAAGCAGAAATGAAACGCATTGAGAAGAAAAAAGAGAGGACGAAACGAAAGAATGAGCTGCAGGTTTGGAAGGAAATTTAGTAGTAGAAAAAGTTTGAATTTTAGACACAAAGATTGGAACGCATAGCTGCTGAACAAGAAACTAAAGAAAAGTCTCGTCCTACCAAGTTTAAACTGTATGAACTTGAGAGTGGTGAAGGCACAAAACGATTCACTGAAGCTGATACTGCTGAAATTTCACAGGTTATTTAGTTGTATAATGTTTTGATTATTATTTTTATCTAGACGGCACCACTTGCTACACGACGCTCTAAATTGGAAAAAGCAGGACGAATGTTGAAGGTGGAGGAGACGCCATTTGGAGGAAAGAGTGTCACTTTCACGTATGTTATAACATAACGACGCTCCCAATTAATTGGTGCTTTAGTATGAGTGATGACAAACAAGAGAAAGTGAGTGAACGTCAACAACAGAAAATAGCAGAACATCAACTGGAGCGGAAAGAGGTTAGATATTCATTTTGGCTCATTTCTCATTCGAAATTTTTAGGTACGAAGGGCTGCATCAAAACTCTCGCGTTCTCTCGACCGAAAGCGAGCACAACGGGGACGAAGACATTAAAAGTTCCGTTTGTTGTTATTTTGTTATTGTTACATTTGTTGAATTTGTTGTTACAGCTTGTTAAAATTTTAGTGCTCTATAAATTTTCCTTTTATCTTTTTTAAATGATGTAATGCGTTTACATTTACACAAACATGCTACCAAGTTACACATTGTTGTAGGTTTGTTGACAGGATTATTTGCGGCGACTTTTATTCATTCTCTTCATTCACTGAACTCTCGTATTTTTGCACATTCGATTTTCGCGGCGTTTATCTAAAAAGTCCAATATTTCGCACTTTTTTGCGCTTCTCTGTTGTTGCGTAGATCTGGACGGCTTTCGTCCCTCCTATTCTCTGCACACTCCCTCTCCGGCCAAAATGAGGGTTGAGGGACGGCCTTCGTCTTTTTTTCACTTTTTCTCTTTCTCGGCTATCTGCCGGTGCTCTATGTCGATGTGGCGATATTTTCCCCCTCTCAAAATGCGCCCCTCACTACTCCCTCACAGCCAAGTGGTTGGTGTGTCTCCATCCGACCTTCAGTGGTTGGCCTTTCCTTCCCCTCGTGTGGGACCTCGTGCCCCTATTTTATTCACGCTAAAAGCTTTCCTAATTTAGAGTTTTCTCTATTGACAGCCGGCCGCCTGCATTTTTTGTGAAAAATCCATTCTTGAATACTCGTTCAAATCCAGACATGAAGTCGTTTAGAAAATTCAAAAGTCTAGGAATGCGTCTGTCAAGTTAATTTCCATACAAGAACCCATTCATGAAACGAATTCCCAAATGGCCGCTTTTAGAGAGCAAAAATCGCTTGACGAATTCATTTAATTAGGCCGAGAAGAAAGGGGCACGAGGGGGGTCTCCTTCATTTCCATTTCCATTTCTTTAGGAGTTCAATCATTGATGGAATGCAGACAAATGAAATTATTGAAAATCAATCGAAATAGTAACGAAAGCAGAATATTCAAGTCAATTTTTCCTCTGTTTGAATTCTTGTGTATTAAAATCTAGGTAAATCTTATCTCATCTTACTTTTTACTTACCTAAATGTTTTTATTTGTCAGTTTCTTCCTAGCTCCATGTGACTCAGGGTGATAGGGCGTTTTTTTTTGAAAGGAAGAAAGACAGAAAAGGGAGGAACAGGAATGGCAAGCTGTGCATGTGTTTCGTATAGCGTTTTTCTTCTTCTCAACCTCTCTTCTCACATCATGGCCCTCTCTCTTTCCTTTTTGTCTGTCTCCAATGTATGTATGTATGGGAAAACCCATTTTCCCTCCCTCGACAACTGTGAAATATCATAAATCGACAACTTTTTTGCTTTTTGAACATTGACTTTGAGTTCTCACACTTTTTCGGTCGACTTTTATTTTTAGAATCGATGTTGTTGCGAGTGCCAAATGGAGGACTTCGGCTGATCAGCGTGCTTTCAACGAGGAGTGCTGCATCACAGGTTAGTCAATTTGGTGCGATAGTTGTTGAGGTATGCATATTGAAGTTAATTTTGTTACTTTATAAGCTTAAAAAATTTGCTTTCTAGGCATCCTCATCTACAACACCGCCATTAACGAATACTCCGTTGAATGATGAGAAGGCGAAAGAAATCGAACAATGTTTTTCACGGCTTGATCTCACATTCCGAAATACCAAGGAGGCTTTTAAGGTTAGGTCATCTTTTCACATTCAACTTTTCATTATATTCGAGTCTCTTCATGAGAAAACCTGGGTCCTATTGCCTTAAAAAGGAAACGGCTCTATTTGCATTTCGCTCATTCAACTTTCGCTTTCTCGGGGCCATTGAATTTAAAATTAAAAGATGGCAGCGAAAATTTTTTTGTCAAATGATTTTTAATGTTTTAAATTTAGTCAAAATCGAACGGTGAACTGCTGAGGGCGATTGCCGTACTCCAAATTTGTGAATATGAATTCCTCGTGCAAAACAATATGCGGATACTCAACACACTTCGGGCCACCCTCGGGAAGAATCTTTTCAAAAAAGTTAGTGCTATTGTTTTTAGGAAGAGTTCAACTTATTCTAAGTCGAAATTGTGCTAGACTGTTTGTAAATAACATAGTTCCGTTAAAACAATAAATAATCTGTCATCTCTTTTCTATGAATCAATTTTAGCTACTCAAAAAGACGTTTTATGGACACTTTGTTGCCGGCGAGGATGAGAATGAGGTAGTTCTTTTTCCGAAAGCTTTCAGAGATCTTTCAAAAATCAATATCCGCGGCCATTTCTTTTCACTTTTTTGAGGGTCTTCAAGTGCCTTGCAAACAATAGAAAAACTCTGTGACGTGAAACAAAAATGGGTTATATGAATAGTGTCTTTAATGAGCTGGCAATAAAAAGAGCTTGAAATTTCCTCGTTTTTTGCTCTAGATTGTAATCGCGAAAGTTTGCCTAATAATGACGTGATTCACTCAAAGGGATGGCTGTAAAATTTGGTGAAAGAGTTGCTTAACTTTTCAACTGTTTACAATCGAAAATTTAAGGAACTTTTTAATTGTAAACATTCCAGAAAAATTTCCCAAACGGTAAAATGTTTACTATGGCATTTTTATGAAGTTAGAAAATCAAAAGCAAGTTAAAAGCGTTTTTCATAACAACAACAAGTGCAAAAAGATGTGGATACATAAGAAAAAGTTGTAATATGTTCTCTATGTTTAGGTGATGCCAACTGTGGAGCGGCTGAAGCAATTCGGAGTAAAATCGATTCTCGATTATTCGGTCGAAGCCGATTTGACCCCGAAGCAAGCACAAGAGAAGACGGAGAAGGGGATGTCAAAAGCAACACAAGTAACTTCTGAGGTACGTTAATTCGAATAACTTCTATCGAGTTATTACCTTGATTTGAGGTTGTAAGCATCTAATAGCTTTATACAGAACTACTTTCAGGCAATTACCTCATCAGGACTCGTCGACAAAAATACCGCCGAGAAGACTCGAGAACGCTACTCTGCTCATCACGAATTCGCTGATCGTCGAAAGGACCAATTCTCAGCAAGGTTTTTCTTCTAATTCCTTTTATTTAAAGTTTCACAAAAAGTTTTTAGGCTTTAATAAAACTTGAAGTAAATTTTCAAATGTTGAATTTTGCAGTCCTTGGCTCGTGAACAAACACTTCAGTCCGATTGGCTTGTATTCATTTTCTAACGCTAGCTAGTTGCATAGAATGGAGATTTTGTAGGCTAAAAGAAAATAGAAAGCTAGGAAAAGCAAAAATCGTTTTTAATTGGCTCATTTAGGACATACTTCTACGAAGGAGAAGAAGAATGCGATCGTAATCGGGATATTTTCTGTCAGGTAAGCTACTTCGGAACGAAAAATAAAAACATAGGTACTTTGGTGAATTCAATGCAAAATTTACACGTTTTATAATTTTACCCCACATGATAGACTTGCCAACCCTCTTGCTTTCAGACTGTCGATGCTGTGGCCAAGGCGACCGGTGGTGAAGGATTTGCGGCTATAAAAGTATATATTAGATCGAAATTTTTAGTCACTTCTTTTTTAGATTACGGCTCTTGGACGTCCAGGACTGCTACTGAAACTCTCCGAATCGATTGCTCAAACAAAGAATTTCTTCAACGCCCTCACGAGTGACACGAATAGCCGAACTGAGAAAAGACGACTTACCGAATCGGATTTCATCCAGAAGTTAAAGGTCTGATTTTGAAATTTAGAGTATTAGTATTATGTTCGAATGCAAATAAGTTTTAGGAATTTGGCGTTCGCACCGATTCCGAGGAGGCCTCCGATTGGTTCAAGTCTGTTGATTTCGATTCAGGTTGGTATTTTGGTTTTCTTTTTTATCATTAAGTTTAGATGGCTCACTGGATTTCCATGGTTGGCAACATTTACTGGAAGAAAACAAAAAGTTAGGCGATATGTTCAAGGTTTGTATTATTTTGTAATCATTACTGAGTTTTTTAATAGGTTTTAAACATCAAAACCGGGAAGCTTGAGCCGCTGATTCAAAACTTGACTAGTGATGAAGAGAAAGAGGTACGGTATATCTGATTGATAGTGAATTTAATGAAAAAAATATTCAGTTCACCAACATGGTTCGTCGAACACTCGATGTTGCAGAACATGCTATTTCAAGAGGAGTCAGGTAGAGGTTTTTTGATTTTGCATCATAAACAATCATTGCCTTTTTAGAGTAATGGTTGACGCTGAGCAAACGTATTTCCAGCCGGCTATCAGCAGAATGGCAATTCAAATGATGAGAAAGTACCACTTTAAAGATGGAATGGTAGATAATTTTCTTTTAGATACAATAAAGAACGAGGAAATATCTTTAACACGTATCAAGCCTATCTAAAGAGTGCTCTCGATTGTATGGAGTGTGATATGCAATTGGCGAGAAGAGAGGGATGGCATTTTGGAGCGAAATTGGTAGGAGTTTCTAAAGATTTTTAACGCCTACCGTTAGACTAATTATTATATTACAGTAGTTTTTTTCAGGATAAGAATTGATCTAAATCTTTTTTTTCAGGTACGTGGTGCTTACATGGAACAAGAGCGTAAACGGGCCACCACAATCGGGTACGAGGACCCGATCAACCCAGACTTTGAGGTAATTTCTAGAGTCTTTTGGTGAACAACACGTCTACGAACGGTTATTTATCGTATGTTGTAGGCCACCTCCAAGATGTACGAAAAATGTTTAACCAGGATAGCTGATGAGTGTGATCGCCGAGGCCGGGGAAATGTTTCTGTGATGGCCGCTTCGCACAATGAAAACACTGTGGGTTTGGTATTAATTTTTATTGTAGAGGTTTAATAGCTGAAAAACAAACACTGCTGCATTTCTTACACAAACTTGCAGGTTCGCTTTGCGGTTAATTTAATGCGTGAACGCTGCTACGCTCCAAGTGAGAAGATTCTTTGCTTTGCTCAACTTTACGGCATGTGTGATCAGGTATTGGACATCTAAAAATTGGTTTCGAACACTTTATATTCAGGTTTCTTTCCCTCTCGGTCAAGCCGGCTACTCAGTGTACAAATATCTCCC